AGCAGAGAGCTGGCCTGGAAGAGGGGCAACCGGGACAGAATCCGGCGCCCCGACCGGGACTAGAACCCGGTGTGCCGGCGCCGCAAGGTGGAGGATTAGCCTATTGAGCCACGGCGCCAGCCCTCAGTCCTTTTTTTTTTAAAGAATAGAAAATATTAAAGCACACTGATGTAGATCAGTTATTTTGTTAAGCTTGCTAATATATAAACATGTATCTTTATTTATTATATACTGTTCTATATATACATATGAACTCAAAAAGTTTATGGAAAAGTGACATTGTCTTTTTTTAGAAAGATTTGAAAGAGTTACACAGAGAGAGGGAGAGACAGAAAATCTTCCAACCACTGGTTCACTCCCCAGTTGGTGGCAACAGCTGGGGCTGAGCCAGGCTGAAGCCAGGAGACAGGAGCTTCATCCTGGTCTTCCAATGCCAAGGGCCTAAACAGGCCATCTTCCACTGCTTTTCCCAGGCCATTCGCAGGGAGCTTGATTGGAAGTAGGGCGCCGGGACATGAACAGGCGCTGTATGAGATGCCAGTGTCACGGGCAGTGACATGCCACAACACCAACCTTGAACATTATCTTTAAAAATATATTTAAAAAAAGCCGGCGCCGCGGCTCACTAGGCTAATCCTCCGCCTAGCGGTGCCGGCACACCGGGTTCTAGTCCCGATCGGGGCACCGGATTCTATCCCGGTTGCCTCTCTTCCAGGCCAGCTCTCTGCTGTGGCCAGGGAGTGCAGTGGAGGATGGCCCAGGTGCTTGGGCCCTGCACCGCATGGGAGACCAGGAAAAGCACCTGGCTCCTGGCTCCTGCCATCGGATCAGCGCGGTGCTCCGGCCGCAGCGCGCCGGCCGCGGCGGCCATTGGAGGGTGAACCAACGGCAAAGGAAGACCTTTCTCTCTGTCTCTCTCTCTCACTGTCCACTCTGCCTGTCAAAAAAAATATATATATATATTTAAAAAAATTTTTTTTGAGAAACAGAAAGACATGGGGAGAGTGGTGGTACAGAAAGAGAAAAAGAAAGAGATAGAGTGAGCTTCCATCTGCTCTTTCACTTCCCAACTGCACTGGGAACTGGGACTGGGCTGTGGCTGAATTGGGAGCTGGGAACTCAATCTAGGCCTCCCATGTGGGTGGCAGGAACCCAATTACTTGAGCCATCACCACTGCCTGGCAGGGTGGGTATTAACAGGAAGCTGGAGTCAAGAGCTACAGCTCAGAGTCGAACCCAGGTAACCCAATATGGGACATGGGCATCCTAACAGCTGGACTAAATAGCTGCTCCTCACATTATTATCTTTTAATTCTGTTCTTCCACAAACTTTATAAAAAGATTTATTATTTATGTATTTAAAGGCAGAGTGACAGAGTTCTTCATCTACTGGTTCACCCACCAAATGACTACAACAGTCAGTGTGAGTGAGGTCAAAGCCAGGAGCCGGAAACTGCATCCTGGTCTTCCCATATGGGTGGCAGGAACATTTTCTGTGCCCTCCCAGGCACATCAGCAGGAAGCTGGATCAGAAGTGGAACAACCAAACTTAGCGCTCTAATATGGGATGACAGCATAGCCAGTGGCAACTTAACCCACTGTGCCACAATGCCAGCCCCTTCCACAAATTTTTGAAGTTCCAAGAGTACTTTTTTTAAAAAAAAAGATTTATTTATTTATTTGAAATTCAGAGTTACACAGAGAGAGAAGGAGAGGCAGAGAGAGAGAGAGAGAGAGAGAGGTCATCGACTGGTTCACTCCCCAATTGGCCGCAATGGCCAGAGCTGCGCCTATCCGAAGCCAGGAGCTTCTTCCAGGTCTCCCATGTGAATGCAGGGGCCCAAGGATTTGGGCCATCTTCCACTGCTTTCCCAGGCCACAGCAGAGAGCTGGAACGGAAGTGGAGCAGCCAGGACCTGAACCGGCACCCATATGGGATGCTGGCACTACAGGTGGTGGCAGCCTTACCTGCTTCGCTACAGCACTGGCCCCAAACCAAGAATACTTTAAAAAGTTCACAGAAATTTTGTAATTAAAAGTTAAGTTTATTCTGGTGCAAAAAAAAAAAAATTGAAACACATGCATATATGCATAGTTTTTAAATAACATACATGTTCCATGAGATTTTTAAAGATTCCCTCATGCATGGATTTCAAATATTTTGTTCAAAATATATTTAAAATATCTTTTACTTCCATTTCCATACGTTTTTGAAGTCTCACATTTGTGTACATATATACATTCCTATATATAAATATATATGCACACATATTCATAAACATGTATGTATACTGGGGAGAAATGTCTGTGTAGCAGCAGTCAAAAAAAAAAAACTTGAAAAAGCTTAAATGGAAAGAACTAATACTCCTTTTATTTTTGACCATTCTTTGGGTTGCTGGGGTGCTATGACAGCATGGATTTGGGTAGGAAGGAAATCTGCGTAGATGAAGAAATGTGGAAAGAACACAGTTTACCTGACTCACTGGGTTTTTTTGGGTGACCTGCTGGGCTCCAGTGCCTCACATTTATCTAAAATGTCATGCCAGAAGTAGAACAAACTCCAAAGGTGTTAGCATGCTTCAGTTGGGGTTAATGCTGAACTCACAGGATTCATCCTGTCTCTCTTCTCCTCATTCATTCATTCACTCATTCCCAGCCTATCTCCAAATGCAGGTCATTTATAACTGTGTCTCAGGTCTGTTCCCTGCTTTCCATTTCCACTAAAACTGCCCTAGAGAAGTCTCTTGTCATCCTGTGCATAGACCCTCTAACCCAACTCCCTTCCCTTGGCCCACTTCAAGTCCACCCAACACGTAGAGCTCACAGATCTGTACAGGGCTCAAATCTGATTGCACAGTTCTGCCCTTGCTTGCCCTAGGCCCATCTTCCTTCTTTCCCATCTCTCCTGGCTGTTTCTGCCACATCATCGCTTACGCTCCACTCTCCTTCACTGTCCTCTCTGCCTTCCTTTTTGCCGTTGGTTCACCCTCCAATGGCCGCCGCATTGCGCTGATCTGAAGCCAGGAGCCAGGTGCTTTCCTGGTCTCCCATGCGGGTGCAGGGCCCAAGGACTTGGGCCATCCTCCACTGCACTCCCGGGCCATAGTAGAGAGCTGGCCTGGAAGAGGGGCAACCAGGACAGAATCTGGCGCCCCGACTGAGACTAGAACCCGGTGTGCCGGCACTGCAAGGCGGAGGATTAGCCTATTGAGCCACGGCGCCGACTTCCTAATACATTCTTTTCCAGGCTAAATTTTATTTATTTGAAAGTCACAGACAGAGAGACAGAGACAGAGAGGGAGAGAGATATCTTCCATCCACAGGGTCACTCCCCAAGGCAGCTTCAATGGCTGGTACTAGACCAGTCAGAAGCCAGAAGCTTCATCTGGGTTTCCCATGTGGCTGGCAGGGACCCAAGGATTTGGGCCATCTTTTTCTGCTTTTCCCAGGCTGTTAGTAAGGAGTTGGATTGAAAGTGAAGTGGCCAGGACATGAACTGGCACTCATGTGGGATACTGGTATCCCAGGCAGTGGCATTACCCACTAAACCACAATGCCAGCCCCCAGGCTAAATGATTTAAGATGAATTTTATGACACCTATACAGGAAGGTGCCCCTAAACCTTCCTTTCATTCATACATTTGGTGGCATATGTTTATCACTGAACATCACACCTTGTGTTAGAATCCTTTCTTCCCCCACTAGACAGTGATTTCAAAGGACTACCCACAGATCATTAGCACCAGAGACAGAACTTGTCATGCTTTGTGCTCCTAAATGTTCTTTAATGACCTGCAAGGAATCATTACTAGAAGGGTAAACCAAATAATGTTTTTACCATTAAGAATTCCTCTACTTATCAACAATAATAATAACTATTGCTACACACAACAATTTGAATTCCAGAGAATTATTCTGAGTGCAGCACAAATCACATACAATGAAATTCCACAAACATTTCATTCTTAAAATGAAAGGCTTATAGAAGTAGAGATGGATTAGTGGTTGTCTGGGGTTAAGAAATGGGTGAGGGTATGAAGGTAGTAGGTATGCTTATAAAAGGACAAAATAGGGGGCAATCGTGTGGTATGGTGGTTAAGTTGCTGCTTGGGATGCCTGCACCCCATACCAGAGTGCATTACACAAGTCCCAGCTACCCCATTTCCAAACCAGCTTCTCGCTTCCCACATATTGGGAGACAACAGGTGATGGCTCAAGTACCTGGGTCCCTGCCACCCACATGGGAGTCTGAGATTGAGTTCCTGGCTCCTGGCTTCTGCCTGGTCTAGCCCTGACTGTTGTGGGCATTTGGGGAATGAGCCAGTAGATGGAAGGTCTCTCTCTGTCTCTCGCCCTCTCTGCCTTTCACAAAAGAAAGTAAATTAAAAATTTGAAAATAACTAAATGAAGGGCAACATGTGGATCCCTGCTGTGGGGCCCTTGTGCTGATAGAAGTGTTCAGCATCTTGACCATATAGATGTGAGGATCCTAGTTACAATATTATACTGAAGACTTGCAAGATATTACTACTGGAGGCAAACAGGTCAAGGGCATACAGAGTCACTGCATGTGACTCTACAACTTTTTTTTTTTTTTTGACAGATTTAGACAGTGAGAGAGAGAGAGAGATAGAGAGAAAGGTCCTCCCTTTCCGTTGGTTCACCCCCCAAATGACCGCCACAGCCGGTGCGCTGTGGCCAGTGCGCTGTGCCGATCCGAAGCCAGGAGCCAGGTGCCTCCTCCTGGTCTCCCCTGTGGGTGCAGGGCCCAAGGACCGGGGCCATCCTCCACTTCCCTCCCGGGCCACAGCAGAGAGGAGCTTGGAGAGGAGCAACCGGGACAGAATTTGGTGCCCCAACCAAGCCTAGAACCTGGGGTGTCGGCGCCACAGGCGGAGGATCAGCCAAGCGAGCCACGGAGCCGGCCTCTACAACTTATTTTTACATACAAAGTTTAATTAAAAAAGATTTTCCACCCAAAAGAATGTAGACAACACACCTCTTTCAAATGCATTCTTTTTATTTGAGAAGAACTATCTCAAGGTAGTGCCCTTTGGGAAAGACATCTCTCATTATCATGGACATCAAGATCAACCATTACTCTCAGCAAAGTACAAAAATACACACATCAGTGACTTCTGTACAATAAATACATAATCATGCACTCCACAATAAAAGGCACCAAAAACTGGTCACTTAGTAGTCATAAAAATTTCTAGCTACATTAACAAAGCCACCCAAATTATCTGTACAAGGAAATGTAACAATATATTCCAAAGGTGAAAACACATAAAACATTTTTAAAATAGTATGCAATAAATATCTCAATTGTTGTATATATCTTAAAAATTATGCCATTGTAAACAGCATGTAAACAAACAAAACTCACGTTGTCTTACCATTATTAAAATTAATTAGAGCCAAAGTTAGAACCTCTGCTCTGTCAGGTATGTTTCACTGGTGAGTGTGCTAAGCAGTTAAAAGTTTCACTCTTTTCTGCAGCAAACAGAGCCCACTGCTGTGTAATAAATAAATAGACATTATCTGCATCTTTCAGATACAAGTACTTAGCTTCAACAGACTACCAAAATGTAGTAAATTCTTAACTATAAATAATACGGCAAGGCTAAATTACAATTATCTTTTGCAATGTAAGGGACAAAAGGAACCCTACTCTTATTTTCATCAGGGTGATAAATGAGGAAAATGATTTTCGAGTCTCTTTATTGGAGGAAAACTGAATGTGCTGAATCTAAGGGGTTAGATGTCTGGCTTTCTGAGCTTCCTTCTTTTGTGGATCCTTAACAAAGCTGAACAAGACTGAAGTTGTATCAAACTTCCAATTTTCTTCTGCTAGAGAACACAGAAATGGTTGATACTTTATACTGATACGAAACTAACTTCAAAATATGCCTCTCACAATGTGAGTAGTCCTACAAGGGAGGCTTATTCCAAACATCCTGGACAATAAAGATAGGTTTTTTTCTATCCCATAAAGGAACCCAATTTCTAACTATCAATATGTTTTAAGATAAGTTATTATTTTATAATCCAAATATATTTTGTTTCGCTTCATCTAGGTATCAGTGCCTTGTAGCCCTCAAGTGCTACTAGTATATTTACTATATGCTTGGATCAGGATGCTAGCTGTTAAACACTATCACTCCCTACTCCTCATTAAAAATAACTGTAAAAACAGCAAGCTGTAACTTCAATTGGAGCCTTTAAAGTCTGCCAGAAAACATTACTTTATAAACTTCCTACTGTCCTGTGAGTTTGCAATGCATACCTCTAACATATTTTGGTGTAATTTTGGTGTATGTATCATTAGTGGGGATGCAGGCCTTTCTACAATGAACTTTAAATTGGACTCTCACTCTACATCTATCAGTCACTTGGCTGGTGCACAGCACATGTGGTTGTGGAAAAGGGGTTCTGTAGGATTGATGAAACAGGTACTTCACAAGACAAGAGATAGCCAATACTATTTGTGGCTGACATACAGACTGGAGATATAATGATGTGGTTACTTCTTTATGACACTAACTTGCGTGAATTTGGGGGTAGGGAGTGGAAAGAGATTCCTGACATTAAATAACCTGAGAAAAATATTTTGTAAAAAAAAAAAAAAAGTCCTCCTATTTTGGCAGTTATGTAAAAATTCTCTCAGTCTCACTTTTAGAAATAAGAAATTGGATTTGGGAAGTCTTTCTGATGCACGGCTAATCGATGGTTACCCACCACACAACTGCTTTTCCCTGTTTTTCTTCCATTGCTTTGTCCAGGCTGCATCCATGCTCCTGAACACACACTCACCTCAAGTGGACTTTTAGGAAATCCTAAGTTTTTACTTGTGAAAGTATAAAAATACAGAGGTTTGGGTTTAATATTACCTTCATTCAAAATCATTCATCAAAGCCCTATGATTTCTAGCTAGACATGAAGGGTTCAAAAAGTTCATGGAAAATGTGTATTATAAAAAATGCATGAATTTCAAAAATTTTTATACCAAAACATACATCTTTTAATTCCATTTTCCACAAACTTCTTGAAGTATATGTGTATGTGCATGTATAAAAATGTAATGTTATTTTTAAAGAAGAAAATTCAAGACATTATGGAGCATGGATGAACTACCTACCTGCCCAGAGAAGTCAGGTGGTGCTTCACAGAAAGACACATCTAAATCAAATCTTGAAGATGGGTGATTATGACAAGGCACTAACTCCTGACTAGTTCCAAAATCCTGGATTACAAAAAGTCAAGAGAGTGATGCTACAAAAGTGGGAAGAGGTGAGGTCATAGAGATTGTTACCCATCCTGCTAAGAGTTATGTTGCTGTGCTGCCAAGAAAGGAGAATCTACTTAAGAATTTTTAGAAAGGAAATGACAAAGCACATTTGTGTTGTGGAAAGACCACTGTTGTTGGAGAGAATGAGAGTAGGAAAGCTGGTTGCTGAAAAACTGTGATAAAAGCACAACGAAAAAAATGATTTTTTTAACTGATGGATGCCTTGAACAAGGCAATAGAATTATGACTTTTTTGCAGCTAATTAGAAAATATAAAATGCCAATTCAATTTTTGAGATGGTCAGAAAAGTATACAAATGCTTAAAAACTATAACTATTTATGCACATATATAAAATGCTTTCACTTGTATAATCTAAAACCAAGATTAGGATCAAGCATATAAGTTTCCTGGCAGAAGAACATAATTTACATAATGTAGTTGTATAAATTATATCATCTGAAAGCGTCTCAAGAAAAAGGAGGAGCGGACACAAAAGGACTGGTCAGGTTTGCAGCTTTCTCACCCTCATCACATTGTCATTGTGCTACAATTGAAATCTGTAAACAGGGCAGGTTCTAATTAAAATTATAATTAATTTCAATTATACTAAGGCCATCTGCATATCAGGGCATTGTGGGAAGCAAATTCCCAGAAAAGGAATTCTTCTAGTCATTGTACCAAATCATTCTGGAATAATCAGAGATCTGTCATTATGAAAATTGTGTCATTAAGACAGATCAAAATGCCATGCTGGTGAATTCTAATTTAGTCTGTTCTCTCATGTCCCCCAACTTATCCCCTCTTATAATTCCATAGGATATGCAACAGGAGCTCCAAATTATCAAATTATGCAATTATAAATACCAGAGTTAGCAAAGAAAGCTTCAGGGAAAGAGTAAGACTGTGACAGAATTAAAATGTCATGTAAAAATAAAGTCATCCTTACACGTAACTGATTATTTTAACTAGGTTATTCTAATTTCTCTTTTATTTCCCTTAATTGTAGTTAGATATCTATGATAGCCATCACTAAGACACCCTCTTGTTAAGTTTCTTTTTGGGAAGTTTTGACGAAGCTTTGCATGACAGAATACCATCCTATGACCAGAGAACACAGTGATCCATGCTCTGGATCAAAGAAGCCATTCAGAACTGACAGGACACAGAAAGCAACATCACTGGGGAAAAAAAGGTAAGGGAGTCCTATACCCATGTTTTTGACCACTGATATTTAAAAAGACATTTTCCTATTTGAAGAATTTACCTAAGAAAAGACATTAAGGCCTTAATTTAAAAAAGACATTTAAAAATGCACACACTCACACTCAACTGTATAAACATTGTGTGGGCTGAGTGTAGAAAAAGTTGAAACTACTCAGAAGTTTTGAAGATTTTAGAACTTTTCAAACTATCCTAAAATAAATGCTATGAATTTGTAGTAGATAGATGAAAAACCCATGACCTACTGTGGTTCAGATGGTACTGATTTCTCTTTGTGCTCATTTTTAAACTGAACATCAAGGGATATCAATTTCAATTTTGAATTCTCATGCTATCTATAGTCTGGGAAACCTTTATGTCTAAAATGACAGTGGGAGAGAAATGGTAAATTTAATTGTGATTCACATTTATATAGTTCCTTTTGTAAAAAGAAAATTACCAAGTACTTAAAACTCATAATAATGTATGCTATTTCTAATGAGGGAGATCATGGCACCAAAACAGGGAACTTGTAGAAAGGGCACAATGAGTTAGTACCAAAGTTAATTATGAAACCCAATAAACCAAAACAGCTTTGCCATCACCAGAATATTAGAATTCAGCTGTTTATTAAAACTGTAAATTGTAAATTTTTTTGGTTTCAAATCAAAGGAAAATCTAATATTGCTAACAAATTTCAAGACTTAGGAAATTCATAAAAAATCTCTGGTCCACATAATCTGGTCTGATCCATATCTACCAATGTTCTTAGAGGAACTACCTAACCCTTCTGACTAGTTCTCCCCACATGAACTATTCATTTGAAGGACAGACATTGCTTTGTAGTAAACACATGTGTTTACCAAATGTCTTGATTGATTAGGTCATCTAAATTTTCTTAACTGATTTTTCAATTTCAACTGAATGGGCTCACTGAATTCACTAGCGTTTTGATAGATCTAGATACAATCTCAGATTTCAACGGTGAGATGTTTTTGTTTTGGGGTATTGTGCGTGTCACACTATACCTCTCACATGTGCCTTGTGCTCCTATATAAGGTGAAAGAAATCTATATTCAAACTATTTGTTCCCAAATCTTTGCCAAATTAGCAACTCAATTTCCTTTTTCCTATAATTTCCATATAGTTTCTTATATATTTCCTGACCTCAATAATTGCTTGTGAAACAGTAAAATCAATATAAAATGCTATATCTTTCAAATTATAGCAAATTAATTCTCAATCTCTTATTATTCTCAACTCACAATTCATTACTGCTTACACTGGAAAGTAGAATAAGACACTTGAATTTAGGACTTATCAAAATGATTTCTTTGGTATACACATTACTTCACATTAAATTGGAACAGCTTTTTATTTTTTAATGCGAAAATGTGATTGTACTTTGTGTCATATGTTGATATTATGTTTTAATTTTTTAGTTTTTTGAATCGTGGAGTTGGAAAGACATTTGAATAGAAATAATGCAAAATGATTATAATCTCATCGATGATTTACTTAACAGAAACAAAACCATTTTCTATCCTGGTTACTATCTGTAAAGCAGCCCAGAATCAATTGCAAACATAGATTAAAAATATACAAATTGGAACCAAGAGTGATTGCTAGAGGGTATCTGATTATTTTAGGGTATTCAAGATTCTTAATGCTCATTTGAATGTCACATTGGCAGTATAATCACTGAGATCTCTTGCATACTAGAAACTGAAATTCACCACAGAAAGAAGTCATAACTTTATGATTATTATAGATTGGCAAAATATTGTACAATAAGTCTTTTGGCTATAATGAATTGTTAATATTGGTGATTTCCTTTTGGCTTTATGCTTGGATATGTATTTCAAACATGAAAGTTATTTTTTAACAAAGTCCCATTACTATTCAGGTATCTACAATGGTAAAGAATATCTATTTTTTTTAACAAGAAAAAAGTTGGGCATCTGTTTGGCAGAAATGAGTACTTCAAGTATTTAAGTAAGTAAATCATTAACAAGAGTTATTACACTCTAAGCAACAGCAGTAAAAAGGAAAAGAGCTAGAATATGCATTTTCTATAAAGATGAAACAACAACATAATAAATAAATGCACTGATTTATACAACCAGTGCAAACCTTCTTCTAATGATTACAGATAATACTGTATATTGTTGACTTTGCTGGTAACAGCACTGCCTCACATAGAGAAAGTCAAAGAGAAAATTCTTGTCCCTAAAGCCACAAAATATACAAAGCTTATATTTACGTTTTATTAAATATTTTGTCTGCCAAAAATCCTGCAAACTAAGATACATCTTGGCAGCTTGAATAACCAGCATGATAATTATCTTGGTATAAAAAGATAAGAAAAATTTTAATATGAAAATTAATAACACCAGTAAAAGGAGAGATCTGTTGTATAAATAGACATTTTACACAAAAGTAAGACTTTTATCTCACTTAAGAGGAAGAAAAAAAATCTGGTACAAGTTACTTGCAGATTTGAAAATAATTACCATATTTTCCCAACTGTACATAAATATATTACTCCAATTCACTAGTCATCTTCAATATACATATATAACTCACAAAACAAGGAATGTTTCAATACCAAACCTGTCACAGCACTAGTTACCAGTTACCAGAACTGTAAGTAACCTGTAGCTATCTATCAGCTTACGACTCAGAATACAGCTATGCTGAGGGAAATCATAGTGCAATCAAACATCAAGGGCCACAAACATATTCTCTTTCCTTTTTAGCTTATTTATCTAACTGCATTGGTTTACTTTAGTGGCATTATCAACCGAGTATTAAACTCCTCTACTTAAACGCATCTACACAGTAACTCCTGGTTATTTCAGGCTTGGTTATTTTACTCTTGGAATGCAGTTGCTATTAAATATGCAGACTCTCTATAAATTGAATAATGTGCAGCTAAAATGAACCATTTTATGTGGATTTTTAAAAACATTTTAATGGTTGGCTTTTATTTTTTCCAATTAAAACTTGGAAGTACAAAAAAAATGAAGAGCGTAAATAAATAATGTAAATAGATTACCTTAGTTACATAACAAGAATTAATATATTCACTTACATAACATAATATAGGGGTCTATCTTAAACATTGCTACTGAATTAAATACATAATTTTACTTTGTTAAACTTCTTTTCCTGAAAATAACAGCATTATACAAATAAGTACAGTCCAGCTGTCTTTGATCTTTCTGTTCTCTATGATAAATCTTTATAGTATTTTTAACATGAATGTCTCTAAACAAACTTGATAAAAAAATAGAATAGTAAAGATTTTGAAAATGAATGCTTTGCATATTATGGAAGCCAATAATCATCCCCTTGTACATCTAGTTGTGTGCCTGGGAATGCTTCCCATGGCAAAGGCATCCTATGACTGCTCTGACCAGAGACTGTGACACTGGTTGGGGCTGCCAAAGCAGACAAAGCTCTAGGCCCCGAGGCACTGGCCTGGGGCAGCGAAAGGACAGCAAGAAGTCTGGCAGCCTTATAATGTGGGAACCGAGGGGGAAACTATTCCATGGCCCACACTTTCTACTACTGGAGGAATTTTCACAACTCGCTTGTCATTCCAGCTGATTTGAAGAATTTTAAGTTTTAAAACTGCCCCTTGGATTATCAAACTCTAAAATCGCTGTCTTACCCAACTTAACACTGAAAGATGTAGGGTGCATTCATTGCAGTGGAGATGAGGCGAGGCGAGATCCAAGACCTCAAGCCTGAGATATGTATTGTTTTTACAGCTTAATTAACAGCTACATCCTTAAGAGAGTCATATCCCATAGAACATGAGACTCCTCTACGTTGTCTGCCCAGTCAGAGAAAAAAGACCAGTTACTGTGAAGTGGTATTCATAGGGAACCCCTAACATTTTCTAAGTCATAGGTTTGCATGAATATTTCTTTCCATGATTCCTCTTAAAGATAACTTCCATGAAGAATACAGTGTGCCCTCTTTATTCATCAAAGCTGGATAAACATGCTCTAGGCCATTAAGTTTTGGTAAACATAAAAATTAGTAAGTGAAGGATTCCTGACAAATCATTGGGAAAAAAAAAACCTGCTTATAGAAATAGATAATTTGTACTTTTGGGATCAAGAATATAATATGCTAGTTTTAGTGTACTATTTTAAGGAATTATTAACCATGTGAGAAATCAAGATAAGCTCATGTAAGAAAAGCAGTCCTCAATCTAAAAAAACATACCTTCTTTGAGGCCTTAAATGCAACATTCATTTTACTTGAAATCATTTTGGTTCTTGCCTCTTTTTTTTGCATACCTAGTGATTCACTGAATGTGTGTGTACTGTTATGTGTCTTCAAGCATGAGCTATGTCAGCAGGATAATCTACTGATAAGAGAAAATGAAAACGAACGTGTTGTAATAAGAGACTGGCCTGGTCTTTACTTATCTCAGTACACATTCTTCTAAAATGTTCCCTGTGACTTAAGTTGTGCAAAAATGAACATGCCACATGAGCAACCAACTGAGCAAATGTGGTCTGCTACTGACTGAGTTGTAAAGTGAGGGATTGGAGAGAGGCCAGCTATGTGGGTTGGCCAATTTCCTGTATTCCACTTTAGCTACCAAAATACAACCACTGGATAGACAGAGCTCATCTAGAACTAGAATTAGGAATAAGGAATTAAAAGGAAAATCATTTAGAGTAATTAATGAGTTTCAGTTCACTTCTGGGATTAGCCAGACGACAAAGAAGAAATACCAGATGGAGGAGCAAGCTATTCTGGGGAACTCTTGAAGACCTCAGACCTCAGAGTCCCAGAATCTAAGAGGGATAATAATGGATGTAAGTCAATACTAATCCTCAGAGGCGTCTTGTTACAAGGAAGATTCGGATTCAGTAGGTCTAAAGTGGACCTGAAATTCTGCATTTCTACAAGTGTGGCACAAAGACCACACTTTGAGCAGCAATGACATAACCAGTATTGTTCAACAGAATTTTTGAGGTGATGGAAATGTTTACAACTGTACAGTCCACTGCCGTTTTACTAAGCACGTGAAATGTGGATACCGCAATGCAGAAACAGAACCTCTAATTAAATTAGCCTGAAACTGAAACGGCCACCTGTAGCTGTCGGACAGCATGCATGTCGACATTTACAGGCCTCCTTTTTAGCCACAGTAGTGTATACCGCAGTCCTCACGTCACCCAGTCCATCAATTTGCTTAGATTATTTAGCAAGTTCTTTTCATAAATACAAATTACAAAATTCATTTCTTGACATTGTTTTCTTCCTACCACTTGGCTGAATGACCCACAACGTGTACTTATGGTAGGGAGAGATAAAAAGGGTCATTTTATAGTGAGGATCAGGAAGGGAAAGGACAGTAGATGGCAATGAGAATCTGAGCGACCATCACTGTACTGCACATGTGGGAAAATGGAAAATGAAGAACCAGGACTCTCAGAAAGGGATGAAGAAAGATCAGAAGAGAAACACCAAGTACTCCAAAATTTTACAAAAGCATGACGCTTTCCCTTTCCTTCTTGAAAAGAAAGTTCTTTCTCTGGAAAATGAAATGGAAATTAAGATTTTGGCTGTGATGTCCCACTGCATGCTGATCTTCCAAGTGTTGGGGAGCCTGCCAGGGAGAAGAGGTGACAGTGACAGCTGGCAACCAGCTGTAGACTGAGCTTCTCACCTTGACTTCTGCATGGACTACAGCAAGGCCTGGAGCTGTGATCCGATCTGATCCCAGGCAGAAGCTCATGGTGGCTCCTTTCTTTGCTTCTTTGTTTCTTTCTTTTTTGGTAACCCCTACCTATGATGAGAAGCTGGTCTCTGTAATGCTAAGGAGGTTTCTGAGGGCACCATGCTGGCAAACAGGTGCCAGTGAGTCATTTGAGTCTTACACAGCCATCCATGGACAAAGCTTCCAGAAAAAACTGCTCTCATTTAACAATGACAAAAATTATCCAAATTGTCATGTTAAAGGATTTCCCTCATCCCAAATCCATTTGCAAGAAAATTCTGATTCAGGATTCCAGTAAGATTTTATAGCACATATAAAAGCTCTTTCAAGACTAAAAAGATCATCAAACACCAAAAATAATTCAAGCACTTACATGTTCTCTTAAATTCAAAAGATGCAGTAGTTTAAGAATCTTTTCTATTGCAAAGGAGTATTTTAATGAAGGACAGAAAATCAAATAAGAATTTAATACTAATACATTCTTTATTCTAAGGTCCCTGCCTTTTTATTTATTTATTTATTTATTTATTTATTTATTTATTTATTTTTTGTGAGGGGTGGAAGTGTAGAGCTGAACAGGGATCTATGAACTCAGCAGAGTTCTGGGAATCTGGCACCTCCTATCTGGACATCACAGGAAAGCACTGAGAGGGGCAGGACACTGTGCAGGGTGGGAACAATAAAAGGGACTGGGAAAGGTAAGCTTTGATTTCAGAAATGTGTATCAAATTAAAATCACTGAACAGTGTACTACTCTTTTAAACTACTTGAAAATTTTCTACTCACCCACAGTATAGGTAAAATACACTCCTATAGTCAGACATACATGGCCAGGAACTCACCAGGTTCATTTATTTTTAAGATATTCAAATTTTTTGAGTTGACTAGTAGTTAAATAACCAAGTTATAAATAAGAATAAAGTATCAAACAGTTCACCTCCTTTGAGATAATTAAATTATATATGTCTGACAATAGTTTATTTTAAATACTTTCCTATTAACATTTCTCTTTAAACATTGGGCAAATAATTGTCTAGAAAATAGCAATGAAACTATATCTCAAGATTATATGTACATATGTGTGTATATACATATAAACATATATGTGTATGTATGTGTATATATACACATATGTGTATATAGAGATATGTGTGTATATATTTATCTACTGAGCACCTAGCAGGCTACTTTACAAAAATTGTCACCAGTGGGTCAGTACCCTGTTTAATTCTCTTATACACAACATTTAAAATATTACAATCAATTTTTTGGTACATAGTGGCTAAAGAAAGCCTATTTGAGGATATTTTTGTGACCTTTTGATATGTTTGCCTTTGGCTTTCAGAGATTTGGTCATTATAGTATTGAATTCTGATGTGCTACACTGACTTATAGTGGTTTATGCAAAGGAAAATTATATCTATTAGATTGGATAAAAGATATAAGTGAGACAATAATAATAATAATGTAAAGCCCTGAAGAAAAAAAATTAAATGTCTTCATTTGGGAAGTGTATGTCAGCAGTCACTGTAGCAAGTGAATGAGTCTAGTGATGAATCAATATACAAATTGCAGTTGAAATACAAAATGCAGTTGAAACCTTGGAGGATTCCTGGATGTCAATAGTCTGTCATATTAGAAATCCAAACAGAATATCTGATCATTATCAAGTTGAAAGGAAAAAATGGGAACACAATGTAAAAATTTTGGTTTGCAAAGTGGCAATAAGTTTTGTCAGGCAATGGAGCATGTGATTTTATGGAACTATCCAGAGAATTTTCTTGATGTGCACACCTGCTGTTTATGATAGGCCAAAGTACAAGTGACTTGCATGACGTGTATCATTTGTTGGCTACAGCACAGACACATGTTCACAAAGTCTCAGGTATGGAAACATTTATGCAAACTTCCATGTGAAAGAACAGAAAAGTGCAGTGCCCTTAGCCAATTAAAAGGTTCTTGGGTAGTAATAAATTAAATTCCATTAAAACTGACATCAAAGCTATTATAGTGTTACAATATCAGATGTGACATGCGGGAAAAGGAAAGACAATTCAGGTAGGAACACTGTGCATTAAGATTTGCATTCATCATAGCATCTGATGGTTTTAACCATACCCTTCTGAACACTGAATGCTAGGAACCCGACCAAGTTGATACCAATCCAACATTCAAACACAACTTAATTTACATCTTGTCTCCTAAGCAATGATTTGAAGGAAGAAGCCGGTGCCTCCAAAATGAGACCTAAGAAGTTTCAGCCACATACTGTTACATGCGGTTGCTCAGCCAGAACATTTTATCAGACCAGATCTGAGGAAAGTAAACATTTCACTCCGCCTATTAGAGGATGCAATCATCTCATCTCAGATTCAGCCTACCTTTTTTTTTTTTTTTAACAATTGTGAGTATATTTGAATGTGTCAGATTTGCACAATAAGAAAATGGCTTTATGGAATGTATGTTTTGGCACAAAAATATTTTCTAATACCTCAAATCAAAATTTGTCACCCAGAGCAACATATCAAGCCATGGAGGTGCTTCAGTGGTGCTTACTTATCTACCGGGAAACTATGAGAGCAGACAGTGGCTTCCATGAACTTTGTATTATGTAGCAATGACTTCACTTCCAAGGAATAGCACCAATATGTTTACACCTCAGCCTGAGGCATGCTCCTGCCAAGCTCTTTAATTCCCTGGAGAATTCGCTTCACATGGCCCACTTTCGGTATCCCCAGGTCCTACAAGAAAGAAGAAAGGTAGGCAAAATGAAGGAGAGAGAGAAAGAAAAAAGAAATTTATTGATAAAAGGAAGCTGGGATTAAATATTTAACCAGCAAGTAACATCATTAGCATTCATTTAATCCATTTTAGTTGAAATTAAATGAATCAGGCAGTGAAAGTTAGAAAAATAAGTAAAAAAAAAATAACCTAACACTGAAAAATTACCAACTGATTAAAAAAAAATCACATCCTACACACAATCTTAATCACAACATTATCATAAATTAGATACAGTGATATTTTAAGAGCAAAATTAATTTAGTTTATCCTTCCTGTATTTTTCCCCCAAAAATAGGCTCTTTAGGATCTCAGAGAAGAATGGTGTATGACACCATGACATTGTCAATGAGTACAAAGGCAAATAGTGATGGATATTTCTTGTGCTAGATTATTAAATTTAAAACTGAGGCCTAACCCTAAATGAAGATGCTAGGGCTTGCCATCTAAATGTGGTATGTAAGTGCATCAGTTGAATTATGAGTCCTTAATCTGAGTGAAATACTTAAATACTCTTCATACTTTATAGTCTGTATTTTTTTAACAGGCAGAGTGGACAGTGAAAGAGAGAGAGACAGAGAGAAAGGTCTTCCTTTGCCGTTGGTTCACCCTCCAATGGCCACCACGGCCGGCACGCTGTGGCCGGCGCACCGTGCTGATCCAATGGCAGGAGCCAGGTGCTTCTCCTGGTCTCCCATGGGGTGCAGGGCCCAAGGACTTGGGCCATCCTCCACTGCAATCCCTGGCCACAGCAGAGAGCTGGCCTGGAAGAGGGGCAACCGGGACAGAATCCGGCGCCCGGACCGGGACTAGAACCCGGCATGCCGGCGCCGCAAGGCGGAGGATTAGCCTAGTGAGCCGCGGCACCGGCTTATAGTCTGTATTTGTAAAACATTACTTAACCATGGGTATCTGTTGGTTGACACTTTCTCTCAAAACACCATTGGCCTTTATTCTCTCAGAATTATTCCTTATTTCCTAAAGAACCATCCTTTTGTAAGTGCCAAGAATTCAAAATTTAACTTTCAGAAATGGAGGATCACTGTAGAGTATGCATTACAAGCTCTGGGCAAGTATTTGTTACAGGAATGAATGAACCCTTCTAAAACAGCCATGACATTCACCATCTGAAAAGCTAAAAGCAAGAGTTAAGGCCTCCAAAATATATAGTTTCTTAATCTGTAAAGGGTATAATCAGTTTGTCAATGTGTCAAGCCAAACAACTCCTTCATAAGACACAGTTTGAAATAGTAGGAAAATATTTAGAAAGGTAATTTCCAAAGCAGTCTAGAAGTTAGGGTTCCAAGATACCACAAGATTACCTGTCTGAGAAGATAAAGCTTCAAAAATATTCATCCTGTCTTGTAACAGCATTATTTATGATTAAACTCTTGAATGGAACAGATCCAGCCGGTTTAAGTTCTGTCCCCTGCCCTCCTGTACTTAATGAGTTCCACAGCAGCATTGCTGCTGACGATTGTGACTCCTTCTGGAAAAGGCCCTTTCTATTGCCACTTTTTTTTTTTTTTTTTTTTGGACAGGCAGAGTGGACAGTGAGAGAGAGAGACAGAGAGAAAGGTCTTCCTTTGCCGTTAGTTCACCCTCCAATGGCCGCTGTGGCCGGTGCACCGTGCTGATCTGATGGCAGGAGCGAGGTACTTATCCTGGTCTCCCATGGGGTGCAGGGCCCAAGCACCTGGGCCATCCTTCACTGCACTCCCTGGCCACAGCAGAGAGCTGGCCTGGAAGAGGGGCAACTGGGACAAAATCCGGCGCCCCGACTGGGACTAGAACCCAGTGTGTCGGCGCCACAAGGCGGAGGCTTAGCCTAGTGAGCCGCGGCGCCGGCCCTATTGCCACTTTCAAACTAGATACAACCTCAGTGTAACATCTTTGTAATATTTTACTGGTCCTGAGAGAGACTTTCTCATGTGACATTACAGTATCCAAAACCAGTCCTTAAGCAATTATACATTCCTTGAGTATGTGCTAACCTATCAAACTGAAAAACAAGGCCAAATCCCAGGAGAACATACCAGTGCCTACCACCTACATTTATAATCCAAATGCAGTTAGAGTCACATTTGACTGTTTGATTTAAATGGAATATCAAAATTTTTTATATTTTGTGATGACATAGATATGATTATCAAAATATTTCAACATTAAATATCTTACGTTATGCCATATTCATATTGTATTTTCAAGAATAAAAACTTAGGGGCAGGATGACTAAGTAGAATTACTATTTTAGTGTAAGGAGAGGAATGTTTTCCATAGGGTTACACTAACAGCTGACCTATATTTTCTTCAGTTTGTGTTAATTCTTTTATGTCCTTCAGAGGTTAGGCCATGATAAAGTTATGACATGGTATTTGTCATATTTTTCTATCTTTCTTTTTATCAATACATCTGTCACATATCATTGTATATTTATTTCTGTCATACTCTTTTTATTTATTTATTTGAAAGTCAGAACCACACGGGGGGGGGTCCTCCATCTGATGATTCACTGCCCAACTGGCCGCAACGGCTGGAGCTGCACCCATCCAAAGCCAGGAGCCAGGAGCCTCCTCTGGGTCTCCCACGTGGGCGCAGGGGCCCAAGGACCTGGGCCATCTTCCACTGCCTTCCCAGGCCACAGCAGAGAGCTGGATCTGAAGTGGAGCAGCCGGGCCTCGAACCAGTGCCCATACAGGATGCAAGTGCTTCAGGCCAGGGCTTTAACCCACTGCATCACAGTGCAGCTCCCTGTCATTTTCTTTATTATTGGGCTTTTCCTTCTTAGGATGAATAGGCTTCATTTTGCCAAAGCAGGATTTGTAGAGACTTAGTTATCCTTCCAGCTATATACATACAGCTTTATAAATAGATAAAATAAACAAACACCCACCCCATCCCCATCTTTACTGTTTCTTTGATGGCCCTTGCTTCCTCCTACTGTGTTGTGGCTGGGAAAATAATGCAGTTAGTTTGCTCCTTCATCTGCTAAGTACCTTATACATACTTTCCTTCTCCCATCTTCGGACTGTCATGTTCCTATTTCCAGTTGTTTCAGCAATAAGGAAGTAATGCTTGAGCCAAACTCTGAGTAGGCATTAACCAGGTGAAGGGTAGGAGGAGAAGAATAGCAAAACAGGGTACACCCTAAGGTGAGAACAAGTTCAGCGTTTTGTTTTTTTTTTTTTTTTTTTTTTTTTTTTTTTAAGCAACTGAAATACAGGCAGAGTGGATGCAGCACAGCTGAGTGAGGGGCCAGGCGTCTGAATGAACAAACAGAACCTTGAAGGCCTCCATAAAGCTGTGGGTCTTTGTTCTCATGGAAATGGGAAGCCACTGAAAGGTTCTGAGCAGAAAAATGACACACTTGATGAATAATGTTAACATTTCACTCCAGTATCCACGTGGAAATGGACTGGAGAGAGAGAGAGAGTAGCAGTGTAAGGCCAGTTAGGGAGCTACTGACCTCACTGAACAAGCAAAATCTGACACCGTAGCATGGAGTCAGATTCTGGAAAAGAGACAGAGAGAAATGAATGGAGATTAGAATCAGCATGGCTTGGTGATGGGCTTAATGAATTAAGGGGGGCTACATAAGGAATAGGAAGGTGCTAAATATGACTGCAGGTTGCTCTGTCTTGAGGTTCTGGGGGCCGGGGCATGCTCTACAAACACAGAGCACTGGAGAAAGGGCCCAAGGGGAGCCGGACGCATCAAAGTTAGCTCTGGGCATGTTCAGATCAACATTCCTGTGTAGTGTCAGTAGTCAGTTGGTGATAGAACCCTAAAGTTTTTAAATGAGGTCAATCAGGGCTGGAGAGATGACTGGATGTATTTGTAAGTAGCATGTGCAGCATTGGGGAATGGTGAGATTACCCAGGAAGCAGGTAATCCCAACTAACATTTTGAAACTTTCTCTCACAGGGTTCACTCTTCCAACAGCTACGGTGACAGAGAACAAGGGAAGGCTGTTCTCCAGCTTCACAATTTCGTGCTACACAAGGTCCTTACTGTGAAATTTCCCTTTGTCCCACACTGTTTTAGTATCAAATACAAATTTCTTTAAAAGAAAAATTTTAAGGGAGAGAATGCAATTTTCATTAAAAATAAAAGCAAACAGAACAAAAAAACCCATGAAAACCTAAAAGGAAAGTTTACTAAGATAATTCTTAATCTTATCTCCTTTCTACTCCTATCTTTTTCCAGCCTGTCCCTGAAGCTCTGCCTCAGTATATCTGTGAGCTTCGGTTCTGCAAATATTTACTTCGTTCAGTGTGTGGCAGAGTGTATGTGTGACATGTGTTCACCCATGTCTGCATGTACTTATGTAACACACATATATATGTATTTATATAATACACATATAAATGTATTTATATCCATGTGTTTTTTAGACACACACATACACACAAATGTGTTCCTTGAATGTATGCTTATTCGTGGCCAATGAAATGCAAGCTTCAAGAAGGTAGATATCACCTAGAAAAGCAGGCATAATATATTAATCAGTAACTACTCAATAAATATTGTAGCCGTCCCAGGATATCATATGTTATACAGATATAAGGAATGTAAAGATCCCTTGTATTTAATTTTGTTGTGTGCTATTTTCAAGTCAATATTTGCTTTATGAACTCTAAAAATGTATATATTTTGCTATGTTCCAGATTTAAGACTCTCAACCAAGGTAGTGAATTAATCTATTATTTTGTTAATGCTGAATACAAATGTTTAGATGTAAGTAGGACTTACCTTTGATGTGCTAAAACTATGACTCTGTTTAATAAAGATCTCTACTTTATACTATCCATTATCTGTTTAAAGAGCTCTGCTAACATACTTGTAGATTAAGGTACAACAATCCATGAATTTGTTAGAAATTCACTATATCATCATTCTATGCATACATATGCATTCTATGCGATTTGTCAGAAATTCACTGTATCATTATTCTTAATCTACAGGAAAAGGAACCATTCAATAATGTCATTTATTAGAATTTTTAAATGGCAGTGTGAAGTAAGAAAACATAAAATGACAGAATCCTGTTCCTAACTGTTGGACAGAACAGGGTGCTTTCCCTGTTTCTACTATTGAGTCTTCACCCAAAGAATAAAAGCAAATTGCTACAGACCATGAATTAATGATTTTCCCTCTCTGTTATAAATGACAATTAGGCTATGAGCTACTTTCTAGCAAAAGCTAGGTATAATTTTTCCATCACTTACTCAAGAAAGTAATACATTTCTATTAAAGAAAAGTCAAATTTTAATACATAGTGGAAAAGAAATATGAATTTATTCATCTAGTTGTTCATGTTTGCCTAAGAAAGGTCAAACAGAAACACAATAAAACCACAGGACTATAAGTAGTCATTGCTATGTCTCTCATCTAGTTCTATATATTGGAAGCACTTTGTTATTGATATTTTAAATCAATTTTTAGTTGTTAACCATGTATTACATTTTTAAAAGTTATTTTTAGCAACAATCATCACCTTCCATGCTGATCCAATAAAAGGAACTAATGGAAACAGGATCTGTTTGGAAATATTAGCACAGGAGCCATCAGACCAATGGATGCACAGAAAAATTAGCAAATTCATGCTGAACTTTAGTTGTAACAGAGGGTGAGCTTGATGGGAAAACATTGCAGATGTTCTTGTGTAGAAAGCATACCAGGGACTCAGACCACAGAGCAGTGAATGCTAGAATACTGCACATTTCACAACATAAGCCAAGCTAAAAGCACATAACAGAAGAGGCACAGAAGAAAGGATTCTCTTTTGCCAAAAAATGTTTCAAGAGCAGAAGGGTAGCACAAAGGAAATACCTTAAGATCTCGCCTTTCCAGATGCAAAAGTTCAGCCCCTCTGATGTCATGGCGGATGAAGATTTCTTTGTACTCTCCCAAATTGAGCAGATCCAGCCAAGCAGCAACTTCCTCTGTGCCCCATTTCTGAACTACCAAAGTTAAGAGCAAAACCCCCTTAATTTCTACATGCTCAATGCATCACAAAGCAAAAGTTGGCCAAAGAAGATGCAAAACAGAGTGCAGCTGCAGCTAGCAAAGGAAAGGGTAAAGGTGTTCATTTCAACAAAACTACAGTTCCTTTATTTCCATGCAGGTTACACACTATCAATCAACACAAAGAGCTGACTGTACAAGGACATTTGCTGCCATGCACCCATGCCTTTACCTTTCATTCAATTTCATCAAAGCAACCCCACTACCCGGTATGTATTGAAAATGTATTTTGATTATTAGGATCAGTGGTGCAAGGTCTAAATAAGCTCTGGTGAAGTCTGTAAGAGCACGTATGAAAAGTTACCATTGGAAATGAGCTACAAACGATAATCAACATTTAAAATCTGATGCGGTATATTTCATTTTGTACAAGTTTTCTGTATTAAGGTCTTGGTGAAATCAGGTGTTACCTTCATTCATTCTACTGCTACTGATAATTACAGCAATAAATGTGCTGTTAAACCAATTTAATGTCATTTAAAAACTGTCAGCATTGTTCTTTAAGGTGAGCTGCATTATGTTCTTTTTTAGTCTCTATAATCATTTTTATACATTTTATTCAACATTGATTAGAATAATAAAAACCTATTTATTTGCAACATTTGGACTTTTAAATGTCCTTCAATAACTGCTTTATGAATATCATAAACAAGGTTTCCCATCAGATAGCTAACTCAGAACGATTATAAAATGATTTAATTCTGAAAAGCAGCCACTGTTACATACACAGAACTTGAAGGTACTTCACCCCTAGGACTGCAGTGAGTTTAATCTCAAAGGAAAGGTAGAGAAAGAAGTAGAAAAACGGTAGCAAAGAAGGCTTTAATCTTTGCTTGAGAAAGCAAGCATCACAGCACACGGTCATTACCAAGGCTTCAAACAGTGTCCTTCAAACAGGAGAAAGAGAATATAGAACTTGAGGTGAAAATATACTAAGCAAGTTAAACGAGTGAATAAAAGCATCTGTGTTCAATGGAGCAAAACAATCTAGAGTTTGAACTTTGAAGACAAAGAACAAGTTACACACTGATGCTGTGAGCTGCTATGGCCAACGAAAAAGATCCACTTGAAGAAACACATGGACATCTGCCCAAGAAAGTAGCATCAGCTTAGCAAGCACTTCATTTTCTTGTGGGCTTCCTCACTACAGACACCTACTGATATGCTGACAAACTCTAGGCATGATATCTTGTGGGAACATCCCCCGCTTTAAAGTGTACAACTCAATGCTATTTAGAACACCCACGATGCTGTGCAATGCTCACCACTACCTAGCTCCAGAACATCCTCATCAACTCCATGACATCACCTGAACAAGTAAATTTTTCCATCTTGTTGTCCTTTCCCTTCCAGTGTGGACCACCTACCAGGCTGTGAACTGGCCTTCTGCTTCTGAACCTTTTCCTTTTTAAATTTCGGCACTATTCGGAACACCGTGCTTCTACTGTTCCTTTTGGCACAATCCATAGGGGGCTCCTGTTCAAATTGAGCAAAAAAAAAATTTTTTTTTTCAGGACATTCAGAGAGGAAAAGCCAATACTTAGAATAGAGATATAACAGGAATAGGTTATAAGCACTAAATGCTAGAATAGTGATTACTTCTTTCAAAAAAGTTCATGATACAATGTATTGTTGAAAATGTTCCAATTCCCATAATATGTATGTGTTCACAAAAATGCATTTCTGGCTAAAGACCAGTGACTTTGGGGGCTGGCATTGTGGTGCTGCAGGTTAAGCCGCCACTTGCAATGCTGGCATCCCATATCAGAGCACTGGTTCTAGTCCTGGCTGCTCCACTTCCAATCCAGCTTCCTGCAAATACACCTGGGGAAGCAGCAGCAGAGGATGGCCCAACTACTTGGGCCCCATGTGAGAGACCTGGATGGAGTTCTTGACCACTAATTTCAACATGGCACAGCCTTGGCCTTGTGGTCACTCGGGGAAGGAACAAATGGATAGACGATCTCTCTCTCTCCCCACCCCTTTATCCCCTCTCCCTCTCCCTCAAATAAATAAACAAATCTTAACAATAACAAAAAAGATGAATGCCTTCAAAAGTAATAATCAAAATTTATTTTCCCCTAAAAATCTCCTTTTCCAAGATAGGTTCAAATGCTACTGTTAGAAGACCTACATTCATAAAGAAACAGGCTGAAGTTTACATACCTCATCCTCATTTGGGTGCAAAATATAATAGAGCCAAGGGATCTCGGTTAGTTTCTGTAACTCCACCTCCACAGAGTGTAGGGCACTGGACACCCTCTCTTCATGTGGAGACTCCAGCTGCTATTTATCAGCAGATCAAACACAAAACAAGCCTCAGTGACCAACCTCCAACAGAAGATTCATTTTATCTGGACAGTGAGCATCCTCACCTTTTATAAGAACCATTTTGTTTAAGTAAAAGAATAGAGCAAATTCTTTAATGTTGACTTTTGTTTAACAACCTGGGAAATCCTGGTCTGATCCCTAGAGATGATGGAAGTAGCCGGTGTGACTGTGACTTCGATCATTTCACAGAAAATGGACTGCTTTGGGTGTTTTCTTTTAAACATAACCCCCTTTCTTGCCTCCCTCCTTCTTTCCAAGCATCTACCCATTCTTTTTGCTTGTACTACTGAGTTGTCTCATTATTCTATTCACTCGTGCCAAAAATCCCTCTAATTTCCACAGGTCACTATCTGAATAAATAATAATTTTTAAATTGACCAACCATTTGTCATATAGAAAAGAACTACACAAAAGTCTCCTAGAGAATTAAAGAAATGAATTTCACATACATTTGTCATGAAAAGTTGTGTTAAATACCAGGCAAAACAAAACAAAACCCTAAATGGCTTATAATCTGCAATAGGCTTTGGATACTTTGGAGAGAATTTAGCTGGTCACCTATTACCACATTTACCCACTCAAATAAGTTATTAAAAATTCACTGATTTACAAGTTCAATAAATAAATAAAGGTGAAATAAACACTGCCCGGCATGGAACTGGAAGGCAGCTGACTACATCCTAGTTTTGCCCTTGTTACTATCAAGTATACAATCAAGAGAAGGTTACTTGATCTCAGGAGCATCATCTCCTCTTCCAGACACAGCACAACATGACCAGATTATTTCCAAGGTCTCTTGCAGCTCATTAATATTTTTTTAAAAAAGATTTACTTAGGGGCCGGTGCTGTGGCGTAGTGGGTTAAAACTCTGTATGCAGCACCGTCATCCCATATGGGCACCAGTTTGGGTCCCAGCTGCTCCACTTCCCATCCAGATCCCTGCTAATGGCCTGGGAAAGCAGTGGAAGATGGCCCAAGTGCTTGGGACCCTGCACTCATGTGAGAGATTCAGAAGAAGCTCCTGACTTTGGCCTGGCCCAGCCCTGATCATTTTGGCCATTTGGAGAGTGAACCAGTGGATGGAAGATCTCTTTCTCCCGCTCTGACTTATACATAAATAAGATAAATCTTAAAAAAATTATTTATATATTTCAAAGCCAGAGCTACTTGGGCCATCCTTTGCTGCTTTCCCAGGCACATCAGCAGGGAGATAGATCAGGAAGTGGAGCAACAGGGACTTGAACCTTACGCATGTGGGGTGCCAGCACCACAGATGGCGGCTTAACCCACTGTGCCACAGCATCGGCTCCTGATCAATACTTTTGAAAATTAATTTAAAATCAAACCATTTCTATCCATGATCATTCACAGAATTTTAGAACTATAAGTGAAGAGCGAATAGTGCTGTTGTTTATTATGGACATTCAGTTGTTGCTGGATCCCTAGTTATTTAAGGTATCGGCCATTTCTAGTAGCAAATAAAACATGGAGCTTCTCCAGCATATTGTGTGAATTTGCCACTCTCTTTTTGCATCCAAGAATATAAGTCTCACAAAATTTTTTAATGGTTATGATATATTCGTACTAACAGTAAAATAGTAAGTCTTAGTTGTACTCAAGTGTCATTAACTATTGTAAAATCACCATTGACAAAGGTTTGGGCAAAACTGACTGGTATACATTTTAAACCAAACATCCATAGTTGACAATAACAGAAAAGAGTTCTTCTGTATTAATATATCTGATAATTATAATATATATTATCAGATAATATATCTGATAAGATCTACAAAGTAATACTGAATGGATACTTGTGGTGTCAAGCATAAAGTTATGCTTGCACTTCCTGTCAAAAACTATTTTAAATATTCAAATAACACAGAAGTACATATCCTCAACATAAAAATTAGGCCAGAAGTCACAGCTCATTGCATTTCCTATAGTACTTATGTTAGAAGAGTAGTAGAATATACTAGTTACCAATGGTAGTGCCAAAAACAATCAAAAAGAGAGCCCCACTGGTTTTACCAAAAAAGATAACCAACGTTTCTTCCTAAAAGTCTTCCTTTGTGGCCATAATAGAAGCTACTGCCTCTTGCGCCAAGGATCCAGTGTTTTAGTTTCTACTGCAGAGAACAAGAGCAATGGCCTTTGTGCAACCGCTAGGCTTCTTTTCCTGAGCAAAGGATGTTCAACAGTTGGCAGTGTTCTGTGCCACAATCAATCAAATCACTTCAGTATATACCAGTGTATATATATATTCAGTATATACCAGTTTGCTAGGCTGGTATATACTTCCCACCCATTTACCACTATGCCAAGAACTGTGACTTTCAATATCACTATTATTTAGGTTTGCATTTGCCTAAGATTAAATTACTATCAAAAAATGTTTCAGGATTACCACCAATCAACTAATCAGACTTTTTACAAGGAAGGGAAAACTAGATAATGCTTCAGGCCTACTACATGGTCACATGCAAGGATTAATATGCCACAATCAAACTCTAGGTGGTAACAAGATCCAATATGCTGGAACATTTGAAAATGGTGAGGGATTTTTTTTTTTAAGAAAGGCTGACTTTGGATAATTTACATAGAACATCCATGGGGCCGCAGCATATGTGGCTGAGGTCTATGGACCATGGGCAGATTCGGACTTGACCTATACTTGATATCCAGGGTCAATTTGGATTTAACCAGAGATAGTTCTTGAAATTGCCTACTTGAAACACTGATTAGAAGGTGTGCTCTTTTCAGGACTATCCTAATCATATTCCAAACATCAATTCACAGAACAAACCCATGAAACTTGTACACCTTTGTGCAAACTGAGTACCCAAGGAACAGCTACTGCACCTTGGCTAGCTCAAGTCTCCCAAGGCTGACTGGGGAGAGCTGGAAGGCACAACGTCAGGATGGCATGCACAAGGGAATTCTCCGTACCTGTCAGTCCCAGTCATAACCCCCATTGTTACACATACATTTCCTGGAAGGCAAAAGTTAGGGGGAAAAGGTGGAGGCCAGAGGGCTGCTCCTGTCTTACAATCTGTGGAACGTGTGTTCCCGGGGAAGGGAAGGCCCACACATTTTTTCCATCATCCTTGTGTTATCCATCTTTTCTTTGTTCTTACCAGAGGAACTCTGCCAACTAGCAAAGATTCTGTTTCATTATACAGTGCCTTCACATTGATGGCTATTTCAGTTGCGGTGTCTCTGGTAAGACTCTAGAAAAGAAGAGTATCAAAGACACGCAGTTCTGTATTAAAGTGGGATCCACCATCAGTAAATACGTTAAATTTTAGCCTCATGACTTAAATTCACATCACAAAACATTTTTGTAAACTCCAAAACTTCTTGTACTCAGGTTTGCTAGTACAATTATCTCTTCAATTATTACTATCACAGAACCACAAGATCACACTGCCAGCAAGGAATATGTTCAGGGCCGCATCGGCTACCTACAAATATAGAAATGCTAGTCCCAACACACACCCAACATATAAATGTTCCCATAAAAAAGTTAAAGAAAAATTATGTCTCAGCAGGGGCATTTTCTGATTATAATTATTCCTAAATACTCTCTTTCACTCAGGGGTTCTAACCAGATTGTGTTACTATCAATTGAATAAATAATAAAACAATACTATCAATTTTCTCTATACTGCTATATATATATAGATATATATGTAACACATACTATAGCACATATCTTCTCCATTCTGTTAACATCTACGTTAAAAACTTTAAAGAAGCATCAATTTCCTATTTAGTAAATCCAACTCAGGTATGAACAGTGCAATGTACCACCCGAGGATAGAGGAGCAGCTCGAACACAATGTACATGGATGATATCTAGCTCTGCCCTTTATCAAGGGGCGAGGGAGAAGGCAGAAGGAATAAGGAAGGACAGCGGCCTTCAAAACAGAGTAGAGGAAAGATGGCTAGACGACAGTGACTGACGGTGAACTTTTAAAAAAGGAGAGAATTTAAGGGTGGGAATGAAAACTGGCAGGGAAAGGAAAATGGAGAATTTGACTACAAATTCTTCAGGTAGAGACTCAGATTTAGCTGCGTTAAGTTTCTTTCATGAGGTGTCTCTATTTTACAGAATTAAAACATACACGTAACACCAAAGAATCTGTGGAATGAGAATTTACCATTAGATCCTCACCTCCGGGCACCTTGGGTTGGCCTTATTCAGTGCATGTGAGCATGCATTCACAGCGTGGGCCAGTTCTTGCTCCAAAAGACAATGAATTGTGGCTGCATCACATATCCTGGAAGCAAAAATGACACAAGTCAATAAAACCTTTATTTAAAAGCATTGCTGATTTTCTGTGACATGTACAAGTAGTAGGATAAAACAAGTAAAGAATTATGCAAAGATTGGTAAGGAAAACAATTTGTAATTATGAATGGTATGGGATAGACTTAACAAAATTCAAACACCATCACAACAAAGAATAGTAAGTCAAAATGAAATAAAAAGGTTTATTATCAGGAATAAACATACTGAAGTGCTATTTGGAAGAGTAAAAACATAGAAATACTTCATTTTGCAGAATCATTGGAAAGTAAGAGTGGTCACATGTAGAATGTTTAACGAACCTTCAAATATAAGAGACTTGGGAGAAGTACAATGGCCATATTTATCATCTACATACTAAGAGCTTCATAAACATTATCTAAGTGGATATTCACAGCTTACAAAGGTAGCCGTGATTAATTCAGTCCATTTATACATGAAGACGTGGAGAGACTGAGTGGTAGAGCTAAGATTTGAATCTTAGTCTATTCAACGCAGCCTAGTGTGCTGATATATATACATATTTTTTGACAGTCAGAGTTAGACAGTGAGAGAGAGAGACAGAGAGAAAGGTCTTCCTTTTCCCGTTGGTTCACCCCCCGAAATGGCCATTACGGCTGGTGCGCTGTGCAGATCTGAAGCCAGGAGCCAGGCACTTCCTCCAAGCACTTGGGCCATCCTCCACTGCCTTCCCGGGCCACAGCAGAGAGCTTGACTGGAAAAGGAGCAACAGGGACTAGAACCCGGGGTGCCGGCACCGCAGGCAGCGGATTAGGCAAGTGAGCCGTGGCGCACCGGCCAAGTGTGCTGCTATTTAAACCTTTAAGAATAGTCCTGGAAAGACAAAATCCTGGAAGGCACTAAAGATCAAAGAAGGGAAAGGAGGAACAGATCCACTGATTGCTACAAAATAACATGGCTGGCAGATAAGCAAGAATGCAAGACTAGTCCAACACTTGTTGTTTGCCACATCTTTAAGGAGAATGGTTGTCAATATGGAAAGGATAGAACAAGAAAAGGAAAAGGAGCCCTATCTAAATGAATCGAGACTAAAGAGAAAGAGTTTCATTCTTAAGGATCCCACAATTGATACCCAAGGTACAGTGGAACTTGCAAATGAACCATAGCATTGTTATTAATAACCTTGAGACATGGAGAGTGGGTTACTTAGAAGAGCAGAGATGGGTAAATGTTACTTTCATTTTCAAAGAAAGGGAAAGAGGTACAACAATCTCAGGTTGACATTCTAACTGCCTGAAGAGTTAAAATTGTATATGTGCGGGTGTAAAAAGTTAAGCTTAAGCTTACAGGTTTAAACCTTCCTGGTGCAGCTGTGAAATTAAGACAGAGTGAAGTAGCACCTTGACAGTAGGGACTCCATTTTGGAGCACTTGAGACGCCATTCTGGGAAAGCACCCCCCCACCGTGAGACTCTGGTCTGAAACTATGATCTCAAATAGTCGGACAATAGCAGTGCACTACATCACCCTTGGCAGAGCACAAAAACCCCCTAGCATGATTGCTCAAGCTTAAAAGTAGAAAGGTTGCATCTGGGTTACCTGGGCTAATAATGAAGATGTGATTTGTCTATGTCTTAAGATCATAATTGCTGATTGTAAGATTTTAGCAACCACTTAGCAACCGTGTATTCTCTCCCCCCTCCCGATTTTGCGGTTTTTGCCTTTATAAACCCTATACTTCAGTTCCTCGAGGCTGCTCTGTTCTGGTCTGATCAGAGAGCCCCAGCATGCTGGAAAAATAGTAATTAAAAAAAAAAAAAAAACCCTTTGCAATTTGCATGAGTCTCTTGGAGACGTTCCCCAGGCGGTGGGTGTTTTTGGACCCTAACATGCCCAGTGAATTCCCCCACACCCAGGAATTTCTAGTGTAATTTACATTCCTAATTCTCCAGGGAACTCATCATTGTCCCCTGTCCAAACTCTCCTCGTTATGGTGATTTTTACACTCACAGAGCCCATTTATCCCTTTCCTTTTTGTCTACCAAAATTAATTTGTGTGTGGTCTGGAAATTTGTCATATATTTGTCAGAAACTGGTTCTTGGGGCCCAGCACTGCGGTGTAGCAGGTAAAGCCTCCGCCTGTGGTGCCGACATCCCATATGGGCACTGGGAAAGCAGAGGAAGACGGCCCACGTGCTTGGGTCCCTGCACCCACTTGGGGGTCCTGGAAGAAGCTCCTGGCTCCTGGCTTTGGTTTAGCCCAGCTCTGGTCATTGCAGCCATTTGGGGAGTGAACTAGTGGATGAAAGATCTCTCTTTCTCTCGCTCTCTCTAACTCTACCTTTCAAATAAATAAATAAATCTTAAAAAAGAAACTGGTTCTTGGACTCTTTTGTTTGCCCACAACTAACCTGGGAACGGCGTTAATGTTTATATTTCGTACTATAGTCCAGAACTCTTAATCAATTATAGGGCAATAGGTAAGTGGGTGACACAATGTAAAGGTCATATAAAATGGGGAAACAAACAAGAATGGTAAGTGTTGGATTAAGTCAGCCATCGTATTTCAGGAAGTGTGTGGTTTGGACTGCAGGGGACACGAGTGTGTGTGTGTGTGTGTGTGTGACAGAGGACCTGATACTTAGGTACCCGTGAGGCAGCAAATAAGGAAGAGTAAATCCATGTCTTGTAGATCCCACAAATGACAGGAGCAGTGTATTCAAACTGAGGAAAACAATAATGCCACTGGCTCAGACCTGAGTTCTCAGAGTACAAAAGCCGGAACCCCCGTACCTTGTAATGAGCTCCTCGGCCGCCTGGGAACACAGCTGCATCTGGGACACCTCTTCCGTCGCCAAGTCAACGGCGTGCTGGATGTACAGATGGGTTCGAAGAACTGGTTTACCAGAATCACACTTCTGTTTATCTTCCCAAGACTTTAGAGTGCTTTCAAAGGCCTAGTTAACATCAATATCGCGATGAATAGAGCGCTGAGCCCCATGCAAATGTGTATTTAGATCTTACATGAATGTCTTCGAAACCACAATCGCATTTTCTCTAATCTGATGCCTCATTAAATAAATCATTAATAGTAGAAAAAAAGCCACTTTAAAGTTTTCAAATGTACTGTGACAAACAACAGTAATGTAACTGGTGAAAGTGAATATATTATTGAAAAGAAAAGATACTATGCTTCTGTCTTTAGTATTTCTTCAATTTACGCTTTAACCAACTATTTCATATAGGCTAGATAGATAGTCTGGATATTGTCAGTCTTCTTTGTTAAGAGTTGATCTTAACTAAAAATACTTATTCCAGGAAAGGCACAACTACAGAGACAGGGAAGTGATTAACGGCTGCCAGCAGTAGGGGTCAGGGTGAGAGAGATGAACAGGAAGACTACTGGGGAATTTAAGTGAAGCTATTCCGTGTGACACTGCAATGGTGCATGCACGTGATTACACATCTGTCACAATCCAACAGATGTGCAACATGAAGAATGATGCAAGCTAGGGACTGCAGTTCGGAGCAAGACATCAATAATGGCTTGCACGTAAATCATACCAACTGTGCATGCCACATTAATGCATACTGTTAACAATAGGGCTAGTTACGTGTATAGAGGAGAGAGGAAAGAAGCACATAGGAAGAGAATTAGAACTCTCTGTATGTTCTGCTCAATTTTTCTGTAAGCCTAAAACTGCTATAAAGACTAAAGTCTATTAATTTAAAACAAAACAAAATAAATAGTTGCTCATATTTAAAACCTCAATGACCTACATGTCAAATTTAAAGAGACAATTTGAAATTTTCCTGTTTTATTTTTTTTATAGCAACTTTAAAATTTTCAGAAACAGTTTGGTAAAATTCTGGAAGAATGTGTTTTGTTACATACTCTGTCCCTGGTTAGCATCTGAGCTCTGTTTTTGTGCACAATTTTGATAATCCCCGGAGGCTGAACCCAAGCTTCACCATCCACCTGCACTGGGACTCCTTCATCGCCAAAAATAGTGATTTTTACAGTGCGGCACTGAAATAAAACAAGCAAACTATTTTAGAGTACAAATCATCCCGAGGAAATTGACCCTCAAACCCCATTCAGGCTTGATTTTTTAGTCAGTTCTATGGAAGGGAATACTATGCATTACCACTTAGGATACATGGTAACCATTGACACCAGCAACATTTTATAGCTGGACAAACAGTGTAGAAGCCATAGCTTCCACCCCCCCCCCCCCCCTGCGTTGCCCAAGAAATGTAGTCAGCTTTGATTAGAGAAACCACAACCTGGGCTATTCGATGATGCTGCAGTTTAATCACCCTCGAGACTGCCATCTGCATGCTATCAAATATCGCCACAACTTCCAGGATCTTGTCATCAAATGATGGTGCAGCAAATATCTAAGAGAAAAATGACACGTGCTTCCACTGAAGGTTTAGGCGACACAGTGGCACATCAAGGAATATAAACTACGCACTATACGTATTTTAAAAAACCTATGTCTTGGGGTCAGTGCCGTGGCACAGCAGGTAAAGCCACTCCCTGCAGTGCCAGCATCCCATATAGGTGCCATTTCGAGTCCTGTCTGCTCTACTTCCTATCCAGCTCTTGCTATGGCCTGGGAAAGCAGCGGAAGATGGCCCAAGTCCTGGGGCCCCTGCACCATGTGGGAAGAAGCTCCTGGATCCTGGCTTTGGATCGGCCCAGCTCCAGCCATTGCAACCATTTGGGGAGTGAATCATTAGACAGAAGGTCTCTCTTTCTCTCTATCTGCCTCTGCCTCTCTGTAACTCTGCCTTTCTTTTTTTTTTTTTTTTTTTCCTAAGATTTATTTATTTATTTATTTGAAAGTCAGAGTTACACAGAGAGAGAAAGAGAGGCAGAGAGAGAGAGAGAGGTCTTCCATCTGCTGGTTTATTCCCCAAATGGCCACAATGGCCGGAGCTGAACGGATCTGAAGGCAGGAGCCAGGAGCTTCTTCCGGATCTCCCACATGGGTGCAGGGGTCCAAGGACTTGGGCCATCTTCTACTGCTTTCCCAGGCCATAGCAGAGAGCTGGATCGGAAGAGGAGTAGCCAGGTCTAGAACCTGCGCCCATATTACACCACCTGATTGCTGTTGTAAGTTCTTACACTTCAATAGGCAAGACTATATTCATATCATGAAAATTGCAAATACTTTTCAAGTTATTTTCTACTTTAATCCTTGCCAGTTAATTTATTTTTTTAAAGATTTATTTATTTACTTGAAAGAGAAGTTGAGAGAGAATCTTTCCTCTACTGGTTTACTCCCCAAATGGCTTCTAATGACCAAGGCTGGACCAGGCCTGAATCCAGGAGCCAGGAGCTTCATCCGGGTCTCCTACATGGGAGAAACGGCCCAGGGACTTGGGCCATCTTCCACTGCTTTCCCAGGTACATCAGCTGGGAGCTGGACTAGAAGTGGAGCAGCCAGGACTTGAACCTGAACCAACACTGCGGGCCTCAGCTTAATGTGCTGCACCACAGCGCTGGCCCCGCCTGTTCATTTAAGAGTTCTGGAATCACAGGGTCAAAGCCGCAGCACATCATAAGCTTCAAAGCAAAATCAATGTAATAGACTCCTCCAGTAGCCTGTGATACATATATTTTTAATAATTTTTTATATTTTATATTATATTTTATATTATATTTTTAATAATTTTTAATAATTATGTCTTCTCTTTCTTTTTAGAACAATTACATTTGTGAAGTATCTCTTCCTTTTTAATTTAGAAGAGCATTAAAAAAATCCTTCCTGAACCTCATTCGCCAAATGAATCCTCTTGATATTTTTAATAAAAATAATAACAATAATCTACACCTAGATTTATGAAGTTAAAAGTACAATTACTGTGGGAGGCAAAATAATGCCCCCATCCCAACCCCCAAAAGTCTGTGTCCTAATCCCTGGAGTCCATGAATTTGTTACTAACCGTGCAAACCTCGCCTCAGTTTCCCCAGTAGTAAATGAGGTTCAATGTGTGGGTATTAAACAATGAAGGAGACGCTCTCAGAACGTCCTCTGACAGCAAAAGGCAGCTTGCATGGATGATTCAGTGAAAGATGGAGAGACTGTGCTGGCTGACGTGGGTGGGAGGCGACAAGGTCATTAGGTAGGAGAGGAGATGGGAGTGGGGCAGCAGGAGGCAGATTCAGTCTCCTTCTGTTAGCTCCAAGGACAGAAGGAGCAATGTGGCCACCCAGAAGAGCTGGCAAAGTCAGGCAGAGGATTCTCCCCTCAGGCCACCAGCAAGAACACAGACCAAGCGACCAGCAGTGAGACCATGTCAGACTTGTATCACGCGGGACTCTAAGACCATCAATGTGTCTATTGCTGAATTTATACTAATTTGTTATAGCAGCAGTAGAAAACCAATCCATGTATGATATTACACAAAGTAAAAACTGGGCAGGCATTTGGCATGGCATTTAGGACTCTACTGGGACACTGGCATTCCATATTGGAGTTGCCTTGTTCAAGTCCCAGCTCTGCTTCTCATCTAGCTTCCTGCTAATGTGTACTAAGGGAGGTGGCAGATGATGGCTCAAGTACTTGGATCCCTGCTACCCATCATGGAGACCTGGAATGAGTTTTTGGCTCCTGGCTTCGGTCTGGCTCAGCCCTGGCTGTTGCAGACATTTTGGGAGTGACCCAAGAGATGTAAGATCTCCCTCTATCTGTGTCTCTCAAATAAAAGTAAAAATAAGTAAATAGTTTTTTTTTTAAAAAGTAAGAACTTTGTTATGTCCTAAATCTATTTTCCTTTTTTAAATTTTTTCTTTTCAAAAGTAAATTCTACTGTTTTACCCAGAAAGTTTATTAGATTTTTAAAATTTTTAATAGTTTGGAGTGACATGAAATACCTGTGTATGTTTTATGGGGTATAGTGCAATATTTCAACACAGATGGGAAACAAAGCAATCACACCAGGCAAGTAGCTCTTCTGTTTCCTTTACTGAGAACCATAGCTACCCTACTGCTCTGTGGAACTCCAGAACCCATCCGCTTCCCCCAATTGCATTTTAGTAGCCATTTCCAATCCTCCCTACATCTCAGGATCATGCACAGCTATATATCCAACATGAGAAACACTGGATTATATCTGAAAAAGTTTGTTCAAATAAAATTCTCAAACAAATGTATTCCACCGCAACATTCTCAATGCAAAATATTCTGACATGAGTTAAATTGTTAATAAAAATAAAATTTTAAAAACAATATTACCACAATAATTCCATTATTTTTTGAAGAAACAAACTATTGACCCCCATTATGCTACTTACATCATCCTCTTTGGTTCCGCCCCAGAAGTTGGTGCCTCCGGCATAGCTGGGGATGTTCAACACCGCTATGCCTTGCAAGCTGGGGAGTGGAATGTACTGTCCATCACACTGCAAGGTAAAAGCCCAGAGTCACACACAGAGAGCAACGCCACAGTCCTGGAACAGCAAAATAGCAGAGACAAAGGTCGACAGAGCCAGTGTGTCGGTAACACACTCTCTCCAGTAAACATATTCCCATATACTACAAAGGCATTCTCCTGGGTTTTTAATTAAAAACAAAACAAGGCTGGCACCGCGGCTCACTAGGCTAATCCTCCGCCTTGAGGCGCTGGCACACCAGGTTCTAGTCCTGGTCGGGGCGCCGGATTCTGTCCCAGTTGCCTCTCTTCCAGGCCAGCTCTCTGCTGTGGCCAGGGAGTGCAGTGGAGGATGGCCCAGGTGCTTGGGCCCTACACCCCATGGGAGACCAGGATAAGCACCTGGCTCCTGCCATCGGATCAGCACGGTGCACCGGCCGCGGCGGCCATTGGAGGGTGAACCAATGGCAAAGGAAGACCTTTCTCTCTGTCTCTCTCTCACTGTCCATTCTGCCTGTCAAAACAAAAACAAAAACAAAAAAAAACACTAACATTATAAATAAATACAGCAGTTGCAAAAATCTAAACTAAATAAAATGTTTTTCCTCTTCTTTTCGCTGAAATCAGGCAGCTTGGGATATTCTTGCTTAGGTTTTGGTCTTCTCTGTTCTGGGAGGCATCCTTGTGAGGGCAGGCTCTGGTCCTTGGCATCTGACTCACCTCTCACAGCCCCCAGCATACTGTCCCTGCTCTGCTGCTGACTGTGATGGGCTTAACCCAAAGTCCAGGGTTTCAAGCAGGCAGAACCAAAGCCAAACAAAAAAGCATCTGCCTTGGAGAACAGCTTATACTCCCCGTCTTCTAACTAACCACTTAAACAATAAGCAAGTTACCATTTAAATAAAGAATACATTGAAGATACCAGTGAATTAGGGAATAGACCCAGAATTGTTGTCTTTTCCCAAATGTTACTTCTTTAATTAACTCTCTTAATACTCTGCTTTATTGTATCTATTAATTCTGAAGTAAAGCCTATTTAGCTATTAAGTAGAAAAACAGTTAAGGAATTAAGTTTGTTAATTACTTAAAACATTTTTAATTATTTAAGAAAAATGACTGTAATTATTAAGTACATTTTATGATGATCACACTTAATATTTTAACCACCATCTAAACAGATCACTACATCAACATTTAATCCAATGGAAACATTCAAATCTTCAATTTAAAAAAGAGCTTATTTAAAATAGATGCTAGATCTTTATTAAATAATTATTATACTGGGGCTGGCACTGTGGCGGTGTGGGTTAAGCTGCCACCTTGCAAGGCTAGAATCCCACATGGGGGATGGTTCAAGTCCCGGCTGCTCCACTTCCGATCCAGCTTCCTGCTAACATGCCTGGGAAGGCAGCGCAAGATGGCCCAAGTACCTGGGTGCCTCCCACACGTGGGAGACCCAGATGGAGATACAGGCTCTCAGCTTTGGCCCAGCCCTAGTGGTTACAGACATTTGGGAAATGAATCAATGGATGGAAGATCTCAATCTCTCTGTGTGTTTCACTCTGCCTCTCAAATAAAGAAATCTTAAAAAAAAAAAAAAAAGACATGAAGCCTGTGTCTCCTTCTATATCACAGTATAATAGGAGAAAAAAAAAAAAAACTTGTTTCAGCAAAAAAAAGGGAGAAGAGTTTCATGCCAAGGACTGCCACTGGACAAGGGATCTCTCATGGAAGAGCTCTGCACAATGTAGCTCTCTCTTCTCCACCGACATTCCACGTGAACCAGCAGCATCAGGCAAATGCATTTTAGGCATATCTGTGACTTGTAGGAGCCGAAAGTTGAGTTTTAACTATGGCAAAGAATTCTCTTCTTTTTCTGTATCACTTTTTTATATACTTTTCTGCATCACTTTCTATATACTTTTCCATATATATTAACATGTTTTCATTTACCTTGTTTTACTAATCTTATTTCCTTTTTTATTATTCAACAAAAACTTTATATCAAGGGTTCTTAATGTAAGGTTCAGAAACCAGGATCTCTAAATAGATTCAGAAGGTCTGTTACAGTGGTGGTTAAAATATACTCGTTTATGTTCACTACCCTGTGAAATGTAGCATAGCCCTCAATCCTAAGTAGGTAGCAAAGCAGCCACTAGAAATGCCAGTGACTTCAATGTCAACAGAAACACAGGCATTTTTGTATCACATGTCAGGTGTTTCAGATACAGATGTTAGCACTCATGTTCACTGTGACTTTGAAATAAGGGAAGTTGGTGGAGGTGTCGTTAGGTTTGTATTTAATGTGTCATGATGAAACACATGTATGAATATTACTTAGTATTATTTGTTTCCTTTCTAAGTGTATGTACTTTATATGATGCATTTAAAAATGACAATCTGAAGCCGGCGCTGCGGCTCACTAGGCTAATCCTCCGCCTTGCGGCACCGGCACACCGGTTATGATTGTACACTATGGTATTTAATTTAAAATATCTGGTTATAAAAACACACAAGATCTGAAGGCATGCTTATCAGCATAAATAGCAAGCCCTGGGCCAAGGATGGGTGACAATAAAATTCAAAGAAATTAACAGACTCTTATGAGCCAAGTTATTAGAGAAGCTTAAATAAGTTGATATCCTTAATTTCTTCTGTAAATTATTTTTTAAAATACTAAGTTGGGGCAGGCATTTGGCCTAGTGGTTAAGACACGGGTTGGGATGATTGCATCCCACACTGGAGGGCTTGAGTTTGCATTTTGGCTCGTTCCTGATCCCAGCTTCCTGCTAATGCACACCCTGGGAGGCAGTAGTAATGGCTCAGCTAGTTGGGTCCCTGCCACCCAGCTGGGAGACCTAGACTGAGTTCCTAGTTCTGCCTTTGGCCATAGCCAGTGGCTGTTGCATTTGGGGAGTAAACCAGTGGATGGGAGCACTCTCCCTGTCTGTCTCCCTCTTTGTCTCTGTATCTCTTGAATCATATAAATAAGTAAACAAATTTTTTTTAAATATTTAAATTCTCAAAGTTAATTTTTTTACTCCTTGTTAGAAATAATTTAAACAAAAAATAAATCATAGCTAAAGATTCTATTTACTATGGATGTTACTTTCAGGGACTTGTGAAACTTGGAGTGTAATAGAACTGTGCCAATTTAGAAACTTAAATGAGAAAATCTATTAAAAACTCATCCTATAAATGTACCCCCACGGCTCCACCTTCTCATGTGGCATCACCACCCCATAGTAGTCCCAATTTTAGGAGCTAAGGAGAATGACAACTGTTTCACTCACATCCAGTGTATGTGCTCTCTGTAGAATAAAGCTAGGGAACAACTCCATTATTCCCCTGAGTATTCAATCACTAATCACAAGGAATTTAGGCCAAGTTCATTTCACAAATTCTTTTTCTAAGTAAGATTATGTGAAAGGTCTTCAGTTCAAGATGAGCTCACCTCGAGCTGAACCCTTTGTTCTAAATTCTTGTATGATCTCTGCAATAGCTCCCGGGTGCCAAGGACTCCGTACCACATCAAGTTTTTAGTTCGGCTCCTGAAAATAAATATCGGCAGGCAATTTCAGGACAATTTACTTTTTTCCTCCTTAAAGGCAGAGCAAGCAAAAAGATACAATAAATGGAATGAAAGTAAAATTGCCTTCATGTAATGACATTATTGTTATTACCAAAATTACCTGCATTTTTCAGGGTGTTCCTCTCTCTTATTGTTAAATTCTAATGAAATTTTTGCATCTAATCCAATCCCAAAGTAATTGTTCATGACACATTTTTCTGAATATCCATCTCTATGACAATAAAGAAAGGTACAGAAAAGTCAATTTCACATTCATTATGGTAACAACGTACACACAGAACAACACTGAAAACCATTTAAGCTTCATCCATTCCTGAAAGAAGATTATAAAGCTTGGCGGGAATCACATGCCATGTGTCCAACAGCTACAATTGCTGGTACACATGACATAAAAGGACAGTGAAGAAAGCAGATACGAGAGAGACTGTTTTCTATTAGTTGTCCCCAAAATCTTAGTTCTTCTGTCTCCTTACAGAAGTCCCTCACTAGACAGACAAATGAGGATGACTATGGGAGCGTCTTGTGGTCATTAGAAAGTTGCCTCCACAGGCCTGGTGTTGTGGCACAGCAGGTAAAGCCACTGCCTGCAGTGCCGGCATCACACATGGGTGCCGGTTCGAGTCCCAGCTGCTCCACTGCCAATCCAGCTCTCTGCTATGGCCTGGGAAAGCAGTGGAAGATGGCCCAAGTCCTCAGGCCCATGCATTCATGCGTGTGGGGGACCCAGCGGAAACTCCTGGCTCCTGAGTTTGGATCCGTGCAGCTCTGGCTGTTGTGGTCATTTGGGGAGTGAACCAGTAGATGGAAGACCTCTCTCTCTCTCTCTCTCTCTGTCTCTCTGCCTCTGCCTTTCTGTAACTTTGCTTTATTGAGCTAAAAAGAAATCCCTGCTAGATTCAATGAATTATTTTGGGTGTCTGGGGAAGTTTAAAATATGTTACTGTCTTCCAGGAACGTCATTACTGAAATGAGCCAGAGTAAAAGCAAAATTAAAACCTGAAATATAAGGAAGTATATCTCAACTTGCTACAGTGCTTCTGTTTTTAAATTATTTTAGGAATTTTGAGGGGGAAGAGATCAATACGGGCCAGATGCTTCCTGAAATAAACCTAGAAGCTCAAGGCAGAAAGATGGCAGATTTGGTAAGACTGAAAAGAAAGGAGGTGAAGGGAACAGTATAGACGCAAGCGTGAAGGCGCTATTAAGTAAAATACTCCAGGGACAAGCAAGGAGCACTATGCCCCTGCTGTGGCCAGAGGGTTTCTCCAAAAGAAGCCAGGCTGGAAAGGGACCTGTCTCAGGAGCTGACCAAGACCAGACCTATAAAGGGATCTGTGTGCTCATCATGGTCAACGTCTGGAATTTTCTGAGTAACCTTTTATACACAGAACCATATTTTTTGTCACACATTTAAAATGTTACAAAGTCACCAAAAAAAAAAAAAAAAAAGAAGAAGAAAGAAAAGAAAAGCTGAAACAGAAATATGTGTAAAAGCAGATTCTTACAGTGAATCTAAATCTGGGTCAATAAACGGCGTCGCACCGAAAGGATCAACATTCGCTAGCAGCATTTTGTTGATTATAGAGCTCCCAGCAATTGAGGCAGCCAGTCCTGCCCTTAAACCTGGACAAAAAGAAAAACACACACAAGGGCCTCGTGTTGAGTAAAAGCAGTGAATCAGTCGACGCAGGTCTAACTGCGAACATCTCACTGCCAAAGCTTGGTTTTCAGTATTTATTTTTCTCAACAATCACAACTAAGAACTATGACATTTGTGAATACGAAATTGTTGATCCTTCCAGGTATCTCATTTATATATTTATATAGAGTCATAAGGATTAAGGAAGTGAGAACTTTAATAGGAACCTCTCCATGATATTTCTCACTTACTATTCTAGTAATTCTGCAATCCCAACAAATACATGTTACTTCCTTTGTTATAGCAAATAAGGTATTAAGTCTGTAGAGAATTTACAATAAACACGAAATTACCAAAATGTTATCACCTCCATATTCTCAGAGCGCAGATGATAATACTTAATTTAAAATGTTAAGAGATGTACTAAGATGAAAACTCAGTGCCAAGAGTAAGCAGTAAAATATGAAATGTGGGTATATTCCAGCAGAAAGAAGTGGCCATCAAAGAGGAATGTACTTTTCTCTAAAGGGAGGAGAGAACTTACTCTTTGCTTTTGGCCTTGTCCAAATACTGACGGAGTTTGTGGACTCAAGAGGCTTCCATGGCATAGGCAGCTAATGTCAAGAGCCTCGGGTGGTCACTGATGTCATATATAAGAGTGTTAATAGTTAAATTAAAAACAGGAGTCACTGTGCGCTAACTCCCCATGCAGGACCTCTGTCCTCAATAATTGTATTCTAAGGGTTAACTGTAAAACTAGTTCTCATTTTTATGTATGTGTGTGTGTGTGCAAATTGCTGAAATCTTTACTTAGTATAGAGTTGGTCTTCTGAGTAAAAAGTTAATTGAAAATGAATCTTGGCCAATGCCGCGGCTCACTTGGCTAATCCTCCGCCTGCAGCGCCGGCATCCCAGGTTCTAGTCCCAGTTGGGGTGCCAGATTCTGTCCCGGTTGCTCCTCTTCCAGTCCAGCTCTCTGCTGTGGCCCGGGAGGGCAGTGGAGGATGGCCCAAGTGCTTGGGCCTTGCACCCGCATGGGAGACCAGGATAAGTACCTGGCTCCTGGCTTCAGATTGGCGTAGCGCGCAGGCCATAGCGGCCACTGAGCGGGTGAACCAACGGAAAAGGAAGACCTTTCTCTCTGTCTCTCTCTCACTGTCTACCTCTGACTGTCAAAAATAAAATAAAATAAAGTGTTACTTTAAAAAAAAAAAAAAAAAGAAAATGAGTCTTAATGGAGAATGAGACCAGCAAGTGGAGAGGGAGAAGGAGGGGTGGGAGTTAATCTTTACTGATCGTGTAAGGTAGGGACCCAACTTCATCCTCTGCTTGCGGCTATCCAGTTATTTCCAGTACCAGCTATTAGTATTGAATTGTGATCTATATTTCAAAATCACTTGGCGAAGATACTGATTTTCAAGGTCTAACATGGATTTCAGTCTATTCTGAATGAACTGGAGGGTTTTTTGTAATTCAGATAACTGGTACTGAGGAGGAGGTTTAACCTCGCGATTATAAGATGCCTGTGTCTGACACCAGAGTGCCAGCTCAGGTTCCTGATCCTAGCCTCCTGCTAATGCAGACCCGTGAGGTTCAAGTACTTAGGTTTCTTCTACCACACAGGAGACACAGACTGAGTTCCCAGCTCCTGTCTTGAGACCTGCTCCCAGATCCTGGCTTGAGACCAAATCCGGAGTGAACCAGTAGATGGGAACAGAACTCTCTCTTTCTCAGTAAATAGAGAAGTAAATAAATAAATAAAATGGTACTGCAGGAGGCCTCAGAGACCCCTATATTTCCCTCCATCTTCTGTCCCACAGTCCTTTACTTTCTATTAGACCTAGTCTAATCCCAAGATAAATTCAATTATTAGGGCTGGAATTGATATCTCAGATGTTCAAAAAGGAAGCAATATCACTGGTCTAAAAACTACTACAGACAGACTTGTGACTTAAAAGCAAAAGGAAAGCTGTGCAGGTCCTTAAGAGGTAGCAGATAAGATCTGGTTTATTTTGGATTAATACAGATTCCTGGGCTGTACTCTAAACCCAGTGAATCTCCATTGCTCTGGCCAGGGCCCAGAAACATGTTTTAATTCTTTCAAGGCAACTGTCACACACAGAAGAATCTAAGAGCTGGGATAAAATGAGCCAAATACATTCTCCAAAAAGAACATTTATCTTTAAGAACGTAGATATTAGTTCGTGGCAATGAGTAATTCTATATTTTTACAGAAATACTTAAGAAAACACCGTGTGGCAGCATCGGCACGACCTGGGCAGATGATTCTGGTGTTGAGCACAGGGAGAATTTCTTTGCTGGCTGCCACAGCTGGGCCGGAGACACAATCAGCTTGGGAAGGGCCACGACTTGTCCGGGCATCTGGAGACCGACATGCAGATTTAACTGTTGGCAGAAAGTCCAGATTAAAAAGAAATAACAGTAATGTGTTATATATATACATATATATACACACATATATATATATAATAAATAAAACTAGACCTTATACATTCAAGACATCAAATAAATGAATACCTGTTTAAACCAATCAGTAGACCTGAAAATATTCACTGTTTGTCTATTCTTTTACCATTTTGCTTTCATTTTCTTAAGACTTATCTGGAGAGGACCTGCCACAGTTGATGTCTCAATCTCTGGTCTCAGAAAGACAGAGATCAGTAGAAAACAGATACCTGCCAGAATTAAAATCAGTGATACTGAAAATCTGCATATGATCAATCCAAACTTCAAAATAAGTAGAGGGGGTAGCACTGTGGTGTAGCAGAGTTAAGATGAGGCCTGCAATGCCAGATCCCATAAGCGCACTGGTTCAAGTCCCAGCTGCTCCGCATCTGATCCAGCTCCCTGCTAACATGCCTGGGAAGCGTGGAAGATGGCCTAAGTGCTTGAGCCCCTGCCCCCATGTGGGAGACCTTGATGAAGTTCCAAGCTCTGGGCTTCGACCAGGCCCAGCCCTGGCTGTTGTGGCCATTTGGGAAGTGAGTTAGCGGTCAGTGGATCTCTGTCTCTCTTCTCCTGTCACCCATAACTCTGCCTTTCAAATAAATAAATAAATCTTTTTAAAAACTAAGTAGAAACTTTGAAGCCTGGTGATTTTTTAAAACGAAACATATGTATTATAACATTTACTACCAATAATCCATTTCTCATGAATTTTGGGTGAAGGATCCAATTTAATCAATATAATTCCCAGAGTGAACAGATGAAACATGAGGTAACACTGTCTTCTATGAATGGAAGGAAAAACAGTTTATTTTCAAATGAAATCATTATACTTTTCCTGCACTTCTCTCTTATCCAAAATGATGATTTGCTACACAGAAGTTCTATCATATTCTTGTAAAACTTGATTCATTTAAAATATTATTCTGAAACAAAATTACTGTTAGAATAAACAACCAAAGGAAATTTAATTCTGTCCAAACTGAGGCAATTTAATGGAGAACAAATAGTACCTTTAAGTAATTTGGGGGCTATTGGTAGATTTTAAAAGCAGTAGTCCTCAAACTCAATTTAAAAATACTCTAAAACTTAATTATCTTCACTTTTCCCAAGACTAATTACAAACTAATTATATTAATCTTACACTCTATTCTCTCTGTTCAAAAACAGTCCGGCTACACTGGCAAAGAGTGACAAACAGCTCCTCTTTCCTAACAGATGGAACTCCTGGAGCTAATAGAAAGAACTTTTTGATGTTTATCTCTGTTAAAAAGCAGAGAGCCTACAAATGACCAAGACTGATGTTCTTCTGCAGGTAATTACATTAATGTGTCACAGTTCTTCTTGAATGAAGCATTTCATTGATCATTGCAATATACTGCATTTCTCACATCTCGGGCACATGAATTGAGGATTTAATTGATTTTCAATAAGTTGAATTACTAGCCAAATTAAGATAAAATACTGTGCCATTCCAGAATTTTCTAAGTCTATGTCTACTTAATCTATAGAACAGTGTTTGCATTTTTTAGCTTCCTTTACAGACTACAGTGGAAGAGGCCGGTTGGAGAGTACAGAGAGGTGGGGGCCTGCTGGCTAGAATGCTGACTCCTCGCCAAGAGTCACTATCTCCCCAGGGTTACCAAGCAGCACCCTGCATGGCTGCCACTGTCAGCCCATCTTTAGTCAGTGTCTTTAGAGAGATGAAAGCATCTAAGGTTTGCTTATCAAATTCACAGATGAAGTCAACTTGACATAAAGGAATCAAGTTTCAAAAACTCTTCACGGGATGAAATGATCCATCCTGGTCTTCTGAGGTTAGCAACAGAACCCAAGGGATGACCAAATCACTGAAAGGCTGTATTTTGTGCCTGTGGGGCCTACAGTCTTCTACAGTCTTCAAAGGAACATGTGGGCTAACCTACACATTGTAACCCATATCAGATGATTTAGGTGTTAGCTCCTCTTTCTATAGGAAAGCTAAAATGTTTAGTCATCCTTGATCCCATAATCCTTGGTTATTTATAATCTCTCCATTGCACACCAAGAGAAGCACATGAGGGTAATTGATAACAGTGCAAATAATCTGTTACATGTGGATTATATTGGCACTCGGGAAAATCTTTAATTTCTAAACAGCCTTTTCAAAAATAAGAAATATACATTTTTTAAAATTTTAACCTGAAAAGTCTTTTGAAAATCTGAAGGAAAATTACATTCCTATTTAATTCCAAAATAACTTCATCATGATTTTCTTACCAGCTAACTCTTTTGTATCATAATCTCTTAATTCTTCTTTAGATTCATCTGTTTCTGTACTGTCGTAATCAGATGACTGGTTGAGCACTTCACAGGACTGAGGTGCCTGCTCTTCTATAACTTTAAGTAGTAAGAACATAGAAATGTTTGGACAAGTAAAAATGAAACCCATCAATAGGAACATATGCTTAGGAAAGGGAAATTGAAAAATATACTCAAAAAAATTCCATTGTCACAAATGAAAATCATTTAGCAATTAACTTGGGGGTTGTAAATACTAGAGCTTATAAAATGAAATAAGGTTAAAATTATATATTAGCAGAATAAAAAATAAAATATAAGAATTCTAGATAATGGAAATAGAAATCTAACTACTAGTTATAATCTATAAAGGGAATTTTGAATACAAATTATTCAAATTCAACTTGTCTACTAACAAAATTATCAAAGAAGCATATAAACATTAATGTAAAGTTAAAATATAGGTAGAGTTTTTATAAATACTTTAAAAAAGCAACATGAATATTTAGGAAATTAATGCTAAAAATATTTTCTATATTTCAGAGTAGTTTACCAGGTTGGATTTCCTTTAGGAATTCAATTAGACAAAAATAATTAAAATTTTAGAAATGTTATTTTAGATCAATTTTCTATCTTAGATGGACTAGAAACATTTTAATTAATTTGTCTCTAAGATTTTATCTTATGAACCATCAGTGTGATCTTTACTATTAAATAAATATAGCTCAGCACAGATTTCCTGATAGCGCTTTTATCTTCTGTAAGAGTGTTAATAGCATCTCTATTTGGGCCACTATGAAAACTCTGTGACAGGTGCAGAGAGTGCTGCTAGCTGCTCGCCAAGCTCATCGTCAGTGTGTACCTTTTCCAGCTTCTTCAATGACTTGCCTCACTGCTTTCTTTAAACTGTTTGCCCGCAGCATTATCTCCCTGTGTTTGCCAGATTTCTGGGAGGAAGGTTTCGTGACGTCATCCGCCAGCTGCTCCTTGCTTTCGCACAAGGATTCTTCACTGGAGGACTCCACAACGTCCTCTTCCGCGATGACCGAGCTCACATCCGGGCCAGCAGGCGCCTCCTGGAAGTCTGTGTGCAAGGCCTGCAGCAGTTCCTCAAGCTTCTCATTCAGGAATGAACACTGAGAAACCCCAAGACAGTTACAAGAAAGAAACCCATAAGAAGCAGCACCAGCAGATAAAGGACAAGGGCATTTCTGCAAGACGGTTTAAAAGCTGAGTCATGGAAAAGTTTTCACACTGAAACGCAAATGGCTATCGCCTTTCAGACTTGGAGAAGTTCTACTTTAGGGAGCGCCTCACTTAAAAAGCTCTATTTAGTGCTGGTGGAAAATGCTAATTTAAATTAATAGTTTCCTTTATTTAGAGGGAAGATGTCTCTGTTGGTATTAACTATTAATTGACCATCTATTATTATTTACACTTTAGAACTAACTAAATAATTTACAATTTAAAACAGATTAACTGTGACAAATATACTAATGTGACAGGTTAATAATAGGGGGAGCTGAGTGTGGAATACAGATTGTGACAAATATATCTCACTAGTATTTGATGAAGCTGGGTGTGGGGTGTAAAGGAATTCTACTACTTCACAATGTTTGTTTTGTAAATTTAAAACTCTTCTTAATTAAGGAGTTTTTAAACAAAGAAACCAAACAGCACAATTGTTATGTAATTCTTATACTCCCAGAAGCATGGACTGCACTTTTCATGGCTAAAAATCTTTACAAAAACCTTGGTACAGTTATTTTTCTTTGCAATAGCACAACAAACACTTTGTTGTAAAGCGACACATTAAACATTATATATTATGCAAGATCTGCTATATGTTATACAAGCTACTAAATATACTTTTAAAAAAAATAATTGGCTTATGGACCATTCTGAGCACTATAAACTTCAGGTCTGGCTGCCATGCAAGGTGGCCTTAGAAGCTTCAGTTTGTAAAGAGGTGAAAAGTACTGAAAGGATTATTGGTTCAAAGAAATATGGAGAAGAAAAACACACAAGGATAAAGAGGGAAACAAGGAGAGGTATAGGAAGAAAACTAAGCACCTGCCCTTGTTTCTTTCTGCCCTTCTCCCATTGCTAGGGGTGAAGGCACATTTAGGACTGCTGCTGTAGATGCTACTTCCTAATCTACACAATTTCCCTTGCTTTGCTTTGATGACAGCAGAAAGAGAGGGTCTCTGTTTTCTGAAGCTCTCCCCAGAGGAGAAAGACAAGAGGAAGGGGTTGAGAACTTGAGGCGTATGGTTATTTCTATTTCTTTTCCTTCCACTCAGTTAAGCCACCATCTACAGCATGAATCTGGGAGAACAAATTTCTTTGCCAAGATATCCCAGCCTTTTGTAAGAACACTCTGGCATGAACTTGGGGTGGAGTGGGATGTGTGTGTGTGTGTGTGTGTGCACCTGTGCGTCAGAGAGGCATCTGTAAAGAAAAAGGCAATGCAAGAAACAGAGCTCTGCAGGGGACCAAGGACTGTAATGTGTAAGCAATCCAAGGACAGGGCTGCAGGGCCCTTGATGGGCCTGTTGGCTTGGAAATGCGGAGCCAGCTGCCCAGCCCTGTCCCTCCCTGCCTGACTGCTGTGCACCTCCCTGCGAGATGTCAGTTAATGCCAAGAGGACTGGGGCTACAGCATTTGGCTGCTGCATGGTTTTTCAGCAGTTTGGCCACACAGTAAGAGGAGATTATAAAATAGCATATTTTCAAAAAACCCTCGTATTGAATTCAAAAGCGATTTTTTGCATGATTTGAGATGTTTGACAGAGGAAAACAACGCCACTTTTGTGAGTCAAGCTTTAAAACACAGTTCACTGCTAATATGGTTGGTCTCCAATGTGCATGCCCTCGCGGTCATCCTTACTTTACTGGCCAGGGTATCGGCCACCACGGTGTTTTCCAAGGTCTTGTCATAGGCCTTCTCTATTTTGGCTATGAAGTCCCTTATAGTTTCACAGAGTACCCTTTTGAGGAAAAGAAATTGTAGAATTCAGTAAACACAGCAGGCTGGTTTCTTTTGCTCTATAAACACATTTGAAAAACAAGAACAATTAGGCAAGCCGTCAACATATCTAGATCATTTTGTGTAAGTCTATACTTTGATCTGCTGAATCAAGCATCTTAGATAAGTTCAAGCTGGATACATGGATGAACTTTGCTCTATATCATTTAAAATTGCAGTCATTCTAAGGTTACCATAAGCCTTTGTAAATATGTAATGTAATATGATATGTAAATATCATTCTTAAGAATGATATTTTACATTACATTCTTTAAGTTACATTCTTAAGAAGACTACTTTTAGATCCCATTAAACAAAGTAAAGCAGTATCGTCTACAGTTGCTATTTTCCATAGCAGAATCTGCAGTGTTGAACAAACGAGGAAGAGGCTACCATCTACTTTGTCATTATCCATCTACTATTTAGTGTATGGCATCTTGACAGCACATTGTTCCTGAAGAGGAAAGAGGTTGTATATTATGCTGGAAACCGATCTGCCACTTGAATTGAGTTATGTCCTCTTTAATCCACTCATTTCTCCCCTTAAAAGAACCAATGCAATAACACACAAACCTAATTTAATTTAGGTCTCTTTAGTGTCAGCAATGTATGGTTTACTTGTTTGTTTTTTTTTTTTTAAATTACATTTGGTTGCTTTGCAATGGAAATATGCTAAATGAAAAAATAACCCAAAACACTGACAAAATCTGTCTTTCAAAAGTCTTAGGACCTGGTGCTACAATTTTAACACAACCAGTAGGATGGCAAATGATCAGTTTTCTTTCAGCAAGGTTTCATACTGATACAATCAGACCACTTTAAGATCACAGGGATTTAGATGGAGGAGTTTGAAGAAAAAGAAAAAAAAAAGATTCCACAGTTATATTTTCGATTATACTCATAATTTTCACTCATAGGTGAATGGCACAATAATAAGTTAATAATTTGAAACTGAGCCATTCAATAGACAAACGTACACACATACCCATGTATATACACACTCCCTCTTCACATGTATCATCTAGGAAATAAATGCATTATTCTTAACAATTTGTGTTTTGTTTGTTGTTTTTTGGCACTCATTGATAGATTTTACTTGGACAGAGAGGTAGTAGTTCCTAACCTCCAACCTTCTGGATTGGCTTTTTAAATTCAAATTTCTATCAAGAATTTAGCTTATGGAGTTGGCATCGGCATTGTGGCGTTGCGGGTAAAGCCGCCACCTGCAGTGCCTACATCCCATATGAGTGCTGGTTCTAGTCCCAGCTGCTCCTCTTCTGATCCAGCTCTCTGCTATGGCCTGGGAAAGCAACAGAAGATGGCCCAAGTCCTTGGGCCCCTGCACCTGCATGGGAGACCTAGAAGAAGTTCCTGGCTCCTGGCTTCGGATCGGCACAGTTCCAGCCCTTGCGGCCATCTGGGGAGTGAAGCAGGTTGGAAGACCTCTCTCTCTCTCTCTCTGCCTCTGCTTCTCTGTAACTCTGCCTTTCAAATAAATAAATAAATCTTAAAAAAATCTTAAAAAAGAAGAATTTGCTTACTACCTGTTAGAGATACTTTCATGCACTTCACAAGAAGCTTTGTCTCTTTAGTCATGAACAATACATCTATGCGAGTCCTTAAAACACGAAGTCTGCCTACCATGAACTTTGTTCTATGGGCTTTACACAAAGTTTCTTTAAGCGATCCCACTTCCAGCGAGAGGAGATACTGCACTCTCAACTCTTTGTATAATTCCCAAAGAGAGTCTTTCCTTGCCATGATGATAGCATTACTCGGATACGATTTCCTCTAAGGTTTGTGAAACTACATGAGCAATAACATTGTCATGGCTGCTTTTGTTAGTGTTTTTCTAACTCCGGGGGTGAGAGGCCTTGGGTCCATTGGCCCAGGAATAAAAGAGACAGCAGAGGTTTCCTTCCTCAGTTTGCCACTTCCCTGAGGCAGAGAGGCTGAAGGCTGACAGGATGATCCTGTGACTCCTGTGGCCAAGGGGCTGATCAACGGGACTGTGAGGGTTAGCAGGGTGCTTGCCACATAAATTGTGCAAAAAATCAGAAGAAATGCTCTATCTAATGGCCCATTAAGTTCCACATTCCACAAGGAACATTTATATTCTGGAGGAATGAATTAATCTTTTATCCACACCTAAAAAGTGAATGCAGACCATTTAAAATAGAAATAAGATGCATACTTAAAATAGTACGATTTCAAGGTCATGCTAATTGAGAATTTGCAAATTGGACAAAAACAATTTTCACACACAATTTCCTACTTCACTCCATGAAAGACTGACAGAAAACAGTTTGCAAAGCAAATAAAAGTGAAACATAGATTATTCTCCCAGAGCATGAAACCTGTTAAACCTCTAATTACATTTTTAATATTAAAATTTTTATAATTCCAACATTTTACTTCTTCAATTTAGTTTTCTTCCTTCAAAGTTGAACAGTCAATGATACGATATGAAATATTCAGTTGAAGCCAATAACAGTCCACATTTAACATGTGTGATACTTTCCACCATCATTTTATTATACTTATCACTAGAATCTATATCTTCATTGATCAGTTTCTCATTTATTGTTTTTCTAAATAGGGGCAAAAGGCAATAAAATATGCAATACTGGATTAAGATACATATGGTCACAGTACTCAATCACAGATTGACAAATTTGTTCCTCACCTAATACACACATTTCCAATTAGAAATTAAAGATGACTGAGAGGTATCATGCATAATTCAGAAAGACTTCTAGCCATCTACATGGCTGAGTATATATTTTAATAATTATGTACCCTATCTCTTCTATTTATGAGGAAGCTGCCTACTTATCTCTAAAGCACTTTCCAAAGCTAAATTCTGTGGTTCCATATTATCTTATTATTATTTTTTCCCATCAGTTTTCTCATTTTCTGAAAAAAAAAATGTATACAGAACACACTGCACTTATTTTAAACATTTGGAGTGAGTAGGGTAAGACATCAGAGAACCTAATTAAGTCCTACTGTTAAAGTTAACAAAGCTTAAAAGCTGGTGACTAAATAAAAATAGAGCCATATATATTGCAGGAGGTAAAGACAACTTATTTAATAACATCATTTTTTATTTTATTCATTAAATTCTATCTATGACTGTTCATTTAGAGCTTCTGACTTTCAGATCATCACTCCTGTTACTATAATGGATAGATAAAAGTCCAGCAACAGTCAAAGAATTAATGTTTTAGGTTAACCTACATATCAGCTATGTTAATGAAATATAACTTTGTCACTAGCATTTCAAAGTTTTTTAAAATATTGAAAGTGGTTGAGGATACTGGAGATTATTATTTTACAAAATATAAGTATTATATACACAAGAGAGTTAAAATATTTTGTCTTAATATTGTGTCATTTGGGCCGGCGCCGTGGCTCACTAGGCTAATCCTCCGCCTTGCGGCGCCGGCACACCGGGTTCTAGTCCCGGTTGGGGTGCCGGATTGTGTCCCGGTTGCCCCTCTTCCAGGCCAGCTCTCTGCTGTGGCCAGGGAGTGCAGTGGAGGATGGCCCAAGTGCTTGGGCCCTGCACCCCATGGGAGACCAGGAGAAGCACCTGGCTCCTGGCTTCGGATCAGCGTGGTGCGCTGGCCGCAGCACCGCAATCGCGGCAGCCATTGGAGGGGTGAACAACGCAAGGAGACTTCTCTCTGTCTCTCTCTCACTGTCCACTCTGCCTGTCAAAAAAAAAATTAAAAAAAAATATTGTGTCATTTGATAAACAAGTGGAATTAACAAAATAAGGGGATTATTTATTTTATTTAGGTTCAAATCAGGCTACAAGCGAGTGTGTGTGTACACCATGTTTTTTTTTTTTAATCATTGACTCACGCACCTGTGATTTGTATACTTTACTGGTTTTATGCCATCCCTCAATCAGGATTTTTTAGATTTTAAAAGTCATAAGAGGCGTCAGTGTTATGGCATAGCAGGTTAAGCTACCATCTCTGATGCCAGCATCCCATAGGCCACAGGTTTGTGTCCCAGTTGCTCTCCTTCCAATGCAGTTCCCTACTAATGACCTGGGAAAAGCAATGGAGGGTGTCCCAAGTGCTTTGGGTCCCTGCCACCCATGTGGGAGACTCAGATGTAGCTCCTGGCTCCTGGCTTCAGCCTGACGCAGTCTGGGCTGTTGCAGCCATTTAGGGAGTGAACCACTGAACCTCTATGTGTGTTTCACCCTCTCTATTTATAACTCTGCTTTTCAAATACATAAATAAATCTTTAAAAAAAAAGTCTTAGGGAGATGACACTTAAGTGTGATGACTGAACTGTGTTTGAATTCTGATTTGAACAAGTCAACTATTAAAAAGAACCCCTCACATAACCAGGGGAAATGGAATATGGATTAAGTAATATTGATGGTATTGGGATTAACTCTACTAATTTTTTTTAAAAATTTATTTATTTTTTGGAGCAGTGAAGTGACACAGAGAAGAGAGAGAGAGAGAAAAGAGAACAACTTCCATTTGCTGGTTCACTCCCCAAATGACTATGCAACAGCTGGAGCTGGGCCGGGCTAAAGTCAAGGGCTTAGAACTCCATCCCAGGTCTCTGATGTGAATGGCAGGGTCCAAAATACCTGGGTCATCTTATACTGCTTTCCCAGGTGCATTAGCAGAGAGCTGGCTCAGAAGTGGAGCAGCTGGGACTTGAACCTGTGCTCCAGTGTGGGGTGCCAGTGTCACAGGTGGCAGCTTAACTTGCTGCACCACAATGCCAGCCCTATAGTAAAAAAGTTTTTTATAGAACAATATACGTGTTTATACAAAAAGTGGAATAAAAAGATCTATAGGATTTGCTTAAGAGATCCTACAGCAAAATGAAGTGGAGAGTAGATGGCAATATGTTGATAAGTACTGAAACTGAGTAATGGTACGGTCGGAAATCATAGCAGTCTCTACTTTTACATATGTTTGAATA